GCAGCGGATGCCCTTCCAGCTGCAACCCATCACTGGGAAACATCTGTACACACTCATAGACCACGGACAATTTAGCTCACCCAATTGACCTATAGCGCATGTCTTTGGACTTGTGAGGAACAACACGCCAACACAGGGAGAACATGCAAACTCCCAGCCAAGGCTCAAACCAGCGACCTTCTTGCTGTGAGGCGACAGCGCTATCCACTGCGCCACCGCGAAGCCTAAAAGACAAAATTATTAGCCCTTAAATATTTTGCAAGTGTTGTTTAACAGAGTGAATTTTAAAACAAAACTTTTTTTAGACATAATAATATTAATTATTAATTCATAAGAACTAATTTCTTTTGTCTTTGCCATGATAATATTTTAGTAAATACATCATATTTTATTTACTATATAAAATATAAAACATTTACATATTTTGCAGATACTATTCAGCTTAAAGTGCATTTTTAAAGGCTTAATTAGATCAATTAGGCAAGTTTTGGGACAACGGTGGTTTGTTTTGTAGACAATTAAAAAATTTAATCGTAATAAAAATAATAATAATCATGGGGGACACAGTGGTGCAGTGGGTAGCATGATCGCCTCACAGCAGTCACTAGTTTGAGCCTTGGCTGGGTCAGTTGGCATTTCTGTGTGGAGTTTCCATGTTCTCCCCATATTGGCGTAGGTTTGCTCCAGAAATCATTTTCTGAAAGACAGAAAACAAATGAATATTATATCCAGCTTTCCTGTAAAATCAGTCAACTATTTTTGATTCACAGTGAAGTTTTAGGGCTCTATTTTAACGTTATAGGCGCAGAGTATAGAGCGCATGGTGCAAAAGCATTTAGAACGTGTCTAAACCCACTTTTTCTATTTTAAGGACTGAAAAATACAGGCTTGTGCTTATTCTTAATGAGTTATTGGTGTGTTTTGAGCATAATGTGTGTTAAACCATCTCACATTCCCTTTAAGAGTCAGTTGCGTCACACTATGGTGCATATGTTATTAACATGGAGGACTATGTAAGTGGACAAACAGAACGCTTCACTAGCGAGAAAACAGAGCATCTGCAGCTCGAGGATAAAGAACGAGCCTCCTCCATTCAGCTTCTTTATTTTCCCTTTACTTTTACTCTCTACTTTACTCCTTTACTTTCGTGGATGAGAAAACGGTGTTGCACTCAGTCCACTAAAGACATCCATTAGCCTACATATTTAATTTAGTTTGTTAAGCGCAAAGATTTGTTTCAAAACTATTCCTAAATTCAGTTCTAATTTTTAGCAAACCAATAAATGAACAGTAATAACAAAGTGTGTTCAGAAAACTGTTATATCCAAACACACGTCCTATTTTTATGTCCCATATAGTGATGCATACATCTCAAAAACCTGACAGGTGGACAAATCTAAACTTTTTTATCATAACAAATATAAATATGCATATAATAAATACTGCGAATAATAATAACAACATTATACAAATGCAAATTGTCATGGATAAACTGAAAAAAGACCCCCGATTTGAAGAAGGCATGGAGGCAGTGATCTTTATATTTATGTAGAAAATAATAATTTTTGTAATATTACAATCCTTTTATTCTTTTCAAATGTAAATATATTTGTGTATTGCTATACATCCTGTGTGTGTTAAGCAATGTGTAAGCGTTTGGACCTGCATAGGCGCATAACTAACGAGCTCTCATTACTTTAGACCTGCTTGTAGTTGGTCAATTACGCAGTGTATTTTAGGTCCTCAAAACAGCAGCGCACATGTACCTTGACACACTTCCTTTATAGACCGGAACACCCATGAGTCCACAAAGTGACGCAAATGGATTTATTATTTAAACAATGTGGCGCAAAACAGGAAAATAAGGGTTGCGCTGGTCTGAAAATAGCAACAAATCACGGCAAACACGCGCCTTATTGTGCCAGGTGTATGATAGGGCCCTGAGTTTCATTCCAACCGTTATAATTTTATAAATGTGATAATTCCTCATTAGCATCACAGATTTGTAACTACTGTATGATGTCTCTTTCCTTAACATTATCTTATGAGAAACTACGACTTTACAGAATGTGTTTGCAACACGAGTAGCAAACTGTGTTCATGAGATTGATTCTGTCCCTGCACCTGGTGTACAATCTCCTTTTCATAAAATCTGAATCACATTAATACAAGTCCGCACAAAGCAAGTCTGTACATTTAGTTTTTGGGGGAATATTTGGGATGTCTTTATAGTTTTAGACAAGCTCTGACATGCGCCTTGTGTATGAGTGTGTGCGTGTGTGTGAGAGAGATACATGTCATACGATGATGATGAATTAGTCTTCATCTGTATAAAAAAAGGATATTTGGAACATATCTGGTTATTTAGAGTCATGAATGTATTGTTATGACAGAACCTGTAAAAAAAAAAAAAAGAGCTCCACACTTACTTCATGTTGTCCCAACTTAAATATTTGCACAAATGTAACCGATGTGCATTGTTCAAAATTGACTACCCTTTTGTTTTATCAGGGATCTAAAAAATCCACTTAATTAAACTGCTGTAAAAATGCATCAGATTATTATTATTTTTTTAAATTTTGTACAATCTGTTAATCAGCCTCAGTCCTGATCAAAACTACTAAATTGTTTTGAAAATTACAGGATTTTAACTCTTTGATTGGCAAATTCACAAATGATGTCCCTGACACACACAAATTGACTTATTTTCAATATAAAAGTAATTCTGAACTGGATTTTTTTTTTTACCTTTTTTACAGTCTTGGACGTGAACTATTAGTAACAACATTGGCTTTGATGCATTGTTAAATTTTCTTTTCGGCTTAGTCCCTTTATTAATCAGGGGTCGCCACAGCGGAATGAACCGCCAACTTATGCAGCATATGTTTCATGCAGCGGATGCCCTTCCAGCTGCAACCCATCACTGGGAAACATCCGTACACACTCATTCACACACATAGACTACGGATAATTTAGCTCACCCAATTGACCTATAGCGCATGTTTTTGGACTTGTGAGGGAAAACGGAGCACCCGGAGGAAACCCACGCCAACACAGGAAGAACATGCAAACTCACAGTCAAGGCTCGAACCAGCGACCTTCTTGCTGTGAGGCGACAGCGCTACCCACTGCGCCACCGCGAAGCCTAAAAGACAAAATTATTAGCCCTTAAATATTTTGCAAGTGTTGTTTAACGAAGTGAATTTTAAAACAAAACTTTTTTTAGACATAATAATATTAATTAGTAATTTATTTTGTCTTTGCTGATCAAAACTACTAAATTGTTTTGAAAATTACAGGATTTTAACTCTTTGATTGGCAAATTCACAAATGATGTCCCTGACACACACAAATTGACTTATTTTCAAAATAAAAGTAATTCTGAACTGGATTTTTTTTACCTTTTATTACAGTCTTGGACGTGAACGATTAGTAACAACATTGGCTTTGATGCATTGTCAGATTTTCACTTTTTCTCCCTAATTTACTGTTGGTGGCTGTTTTTGCCCCATTGACTTTCATTATAACCACATTTGATGGTGCATAAATACACAGTCTTGAATTTTGTTTACTCTGTGTTGTTGTGAGAGCTGAGATGCATATTTAGATTTTCTTAGAACACATCAAGTGCACATCAACTCTCACAATCACCGACACACATGCACTCTTTAATTTACTGTAATACTCCATATAAAATCCAGAAACTAAGCTTTTTTTTTTTTTTTTTTTTTTTGCACATGCCTATCTAAAGCAATCAATCAATAATGGGGATAATCAACAGTAACAAATCTGACCTCCTCCCAACTGGGAAAACCACCAATGATCCAAATGCATGATTATATGATGCCATGGTCTTGTAATCAAAAAAATGTGTTTATAATGGAAGTCAATGGGGCAAAAACAGCCACCAACAGTAAAATTAGGAAGAACAAATGAAAATCAATCAAAAATAACGCATCAAAGACAATGTTGTTTCATATATTCAAGACCTTGATAAAAGGTATAAATAATCCAGTCCACAAATACTTTTGAAACACTAAAAATACTTCAATCACCACAAATCAGTGACATCAATTGTGAATTTTTGCAATTAAAGAGTTGAAACCCTGTAATTTTTTTCATCAATTTAGTAGATTCGATCAGGACTGAGGTTGATTAACAGAAAAATAAATATTTTTCTGATGCATTTTATGTTGATGCAGTGGCGCAGTAGGTAATGCTGTCGCCTCACAGCAAGAAGGTCGCTGGTTGGAGTCTCGGCTGGGTTAGTTGGTGTTTCTTTGTGGAGTTTGCATGTTCTCCCTGCATTCGTGTGAGTTTCCTCCGGGTGCTCTGGTTTCCCCCACAGCGGAATTGGGTTGGCTAAATTGTGTGAATGAGTGTGTGTGGATGTTTCCCAGAGATGGGTTGTTGCTGGAAGGGCATCCGCTGGGTAAAAACGTGTTAGATAAGTTGGCGGTTCATTCTGCTGTGGCGACCCAGGATAAATAAAGGGACTAAGTCAAAAGAAGAAAGACGCATTTTACAGCAGTTTGATTCAGTGGATGTTTTCATCCTGAACATAACAAAAGAGTAGTAAATTTGCCCATGGTGTATTGTTGAGTTTAAAAAAAAAAAATCTAAGCATTTTCCCAAAATTATGTGTCAAAATAAGATTTGTCATCAAAACTCATTCTGCTAGCTGAAACCCAGAAAAAGTTATGGCCAAATTAAGACACAAAATCATCTCTGAGTGGATGAAAACATCCACAAGAGTACATACGGGCAATATAAAATATAACATACATAAATAATGTAATATAAATAATAAAGTATAATAAATAAACTGTTCCAAAAAACACCAAATAATTGTGTTGTTTCAACTTATTTTAAATTAAAGTAGCTTATACAAGCAGCAAAAGTCATTTTTGAGTGAACAAGCAGTTTTTACAGCATTATTTGAAATCCTTCTGCATAACCAGCTATTAATTAATCTCTGTGTTGTTGTTTTTTCTCTGCAGTACTCTCCATTGCTCAAGAAATTATACTGTCAGATTGCAAAGACTTGTCCGATTCAGATCAAACTGGCATCTTCACCCCCGAACGGCAGTGTGATCCGAGCCATGCCCATCTACAAGAAGGCTGAGCACGTCACAGAGGTGGTCAAACGTTGCCCGAATCACGAACTCGGACGGGACTTCAACGAAAGTATGTCAAAGTCATTCTGTAAAGACTCTTTAATTGTGTTCGTTCGGCAACAGACACATTCTTATCAACACTTCATATTTCAGGCATTGCAGGTATGGAAAATGGAAAAATATAATAATAATAATAAAGTATTGAATACAAACAATTGTACTCATTGGAAAGTTGTATTGCTGTGAGTTGAGAACGTTAATTATAAAGTAGAAACAATAATACTCAGTCCTCCTTCACATTCAGTCAGTTGCTAAGACTGTCCAGTCTGTTGACATTATCGGGGGACAATGTGGCCCTTTTCTTTTGAATGATGCGAGCTGAGAGTGCAACGCAGTCTCACGGCAATTCGTAACTTTTTGATTTAGTGGCTACAGACGTTTAAGCAGGTTTGTAGCTGAGAAACACGCAAGCGCACACACAGTCAGACAGACACGCGCACACACACACACACCACAGGGCAGGCGGAGCGACTCCCTTCAGATTCAACACATGATCACGTTCATCAAATTTGCTTAAACCAGGGGTGTCCAAACTACGGCCCGCGGGCCATCTGCGGCCCGCAATCAGTTTTGTGGCGGCCCACGAGGCTTTTTATAAATATTAATAGAATCTGGCCCGCTATACAAAAATGAACGTAATTCAATAAATAACCACCAGGTGTCGCTATTACATGCCTTCAATTAGGCAGCACTTCTTGTTATGATGTAAAACTAACCAACCAAACTGAAGGAAACATAATTGATGACCACGTTTTGGCGAGCCATGGCGCACCAAATAAAGGAAAATCAACAGTGAGTGCAGGAAGTTTCAGTCACGTTGGGGCAAAGAATATTTCTTCACAGAGGTCAGAGGGAAATGTATCTGTTTATTTTGGCAGGAATCAGTAATGAAGGAATATAATATTAAAAGACATTATGAAACAAAACTTCAGGCCTTCAGCTTTTATGCTGGTGCCGAAGAAGATCAAAAAGTAAAACAATTGTTGAGCTGCTCTATCAGCTCAACAACAGCAGTTTTTTGTGCTAAAGTGCAAGAAAATTCTACACTGCACTGCAAAAAATGCTTTTTTATTTAGATTTTTTGTCTTGTTTCATGTCCAAATATCTAAAAAAAAAAAAATCTTAAATAAAGTAGAATTTTCTAATTTGTTTTGGGAAATAATATGGCAATATTAAGTGAGTTTTTCCCTTAAACAAGCAAATTAATCTGCCAATGGGGTAAGCAAATTAATCTTGTTTTTCCTTTTGACATAAGATTATTTTGCTTACCCCATTGGCAGATTAATTTGCTTGTTTTAAGGAAAAACTCACTTAATATTAGCATATTCTTTCTCAAAACAAGATAATATGTTTTGCTTGTCTAGAAAATTTTTTTGATTTGAGAATTTTTAGATATTTGGACTCGAAACAATCTAAGTAAGAAAAGCATTTTTTGCAGCGTGGCTAGTTATGAGGTAGTTCAGCTAATCGCACAGCACAGGAAAATTTGAAAATGTAAAATTTGGCCCGGGACAACGTTTTTTTTTTTGCATCTGGCCCTCGGCCCAAAAAGTTTGGACACCCCTGGCTTAAACTAAGCGTTCTAAAGTATGACTGTATTTCACAGGGATTCTGACACAACAACGCGAAGCATCCGCTTGCGTGTGAGGGGGAAACAGGTCAAACTTAATGACACATTTGATGGCTCGTGCTGAAAGGCAGAGAAATGCGCTGTCTTTGACAGCTCGCGACTTCATGTCACTTTCTGAGAACATTTACATGGACACCAATACATAATACTCTTATTAAGAGTCTACCATGTAAGCAGCAATTTTTGTCTACCTTAAAGGACCACCAAGTCATGAAATGCGGAGGTTTTTCTTTCCGTTCGCCATGCGGAATCAAACTCCATTAAAACAGAAGTCGAAAGTTAAAAATGAAACATACGAAATTGCATGAAACTCTGGAGAAAACGCTGGATAGCCTGGTGATGCGACATTAATTGTTTTATATTGAAACTTACCTTCAAAAAGCGCTTCCTTGGCCTTATTTATATTTCTTTGCATGTTGAACACACATTGATCACAACAGGAAATTAAAAAAACAGCAACTGCGTTAATTGCGTTAATTTTTTTTACGCGTTAATTATTTCAAATTAATCGCATGCGTTAACGCACTAATTTTGACAGCACTAGTTTATATGTAATTTTATATTATGGATAAGGCATAAAACAAAAAAATGTTCATCCAATTAAATATTGTCGGACCGACACATAACTTAATTATGACAGGTATTTTAAACTGTCTGTCAACAAATTTAAGATTCGTGTGTTTATGACTTAAGGAGGGCAGGGAGGGTCGTAAATCTCTAAGCTATAATGCTAATGCTAGCATTCTGGCAGATAACCTACATAGATGTATACACTAGATGTCACCTGGCCTATTGTTGTCTATTGGACGGAATGCGTCAATAGCGCCGCCATCTTGCTACAGGGTAGCGCTCCTTTGAAATGAATGCGGGACCAAGGTACAGTGGAGGACTGTGGCCATGCAAAGCCAGAGATATACACATATACACATATATCTGTGATCGGGAGTTTTCCTGGATGTTAGTATGTAATTTCTTTTTTGTAATTACGAAAATTATAATTTTACATCACTTTTCTATTGATGGATCAGTGACCGCACGGGCATTCCTGACAAAAAGCTTGTGTTTGTGTGTACAGAAATGTGCTATTCACCCTCCCTGTTAAATCTAATCTAATCCGTGTCCTGAAACAAAGCACCTCTACTGCTTTCACTTCTCATACTGACAGAGGGAGCGACTCGTTTGTGAATGAATCCCCCGAACGACTCTTTCACTAACGTTAGCAGACAATAATACAAGTTTCTGGCAGCGCAGCATCTCGTTGTCATATTTCTTTTGCATTGTTTGCAGATTTTATTCAACAAAACTAGCATAAGCCGAGTGTTTAGTGCGAGTTGGAGCTGCTTTGTCTTATGGTGAATGCAGTAAGTGACTGTTATCCTCAAAAACGTTACCTGATTAGCACAAAAGTTCAGAACATACAAAAACAGAAAAAAACTTAATATTACCTATGGAATGTTCTGCCTTTGTGCTTTGTTTTCTTTGTTTGCTCATTACTACACCCGTAGACAGGGCTAAAGTCCCACATCTTCACGTAATAACACTGTCTTGACTAGTGCGGTTGAATGACATTTGTCCTGGGAGCACTGTACCAATGTGGCGGCGCTATTGACGCATGCTCAGGGTCCCTATGCGATATCTAGTGTATATATCTATGGATAACCTACTGCACCTTTAATTTAATACTGATAATAACAACTAAAAAAATTAATTTTAATTATATGAAACCTTTAAGGAAGTATCTATGTTGTTCATCCTCCTGTAATTCTGAATCTTTGTTTTCCAGGTCAGACGGCTCCTGCCAGTCATTTGATAAGAGTAGAGGGCAATAATCTGTGTCAGTATGTGGACGACCCAGTAACAGGTCGACAGAGTGTTCTGGTCCCGTATGAGTCTCCACAGGTCAGTTCAGCAGATGCTGATTTATATACAGTTGAAGTCATAATTATTTGCCCTCCTGTGATTTATTATTATTATTTTTGGAATTTTCAAATGGTTAACACTGTCGCCTTACAGCAAGAAGGTTCGAGTCCCAGCTGGGTCAGTTGGCATTTCTGTGTGGAGTTCGGATGTTTCTTCCCGTGTTTGTGTGGGTTTCCTTCGGGAACTCCCCCACTGACCAAAGACATATAGGTGAATTTAATAAACTAAATCGATCGTAGTGTATGAGTGTGAATGAGAATGTATGGATGTTTCCCAGTACTGGGTTGCAGATTGATGGGCATACGCTGTGTAAAACATATACTGGATAAGTTGTCGACCCCTGATAAATAAAGGGACTAAGCCGAGGGAGAATGAACAAATAAAATAAAAAACTATTAAAAAATGTTTAATTAAATTAAAATATTTATTCCATTGTGGCGACCCTTGATTAATAAAGGGACTAAGCTGAAATGAAAAAAATAAATGATGAATGAACAGTTTTTGATCACATTGTTTTTATTTTGTAGGTTTTGAATGCACAGTCACAAAAGCACACAGACATACACTGTAAAAAATGCAATACAATTGATTTGTGTTGGGTCAATATGACGGAATTAAGTTAGCTTATTTAGTTTTAGGGGTTGAACATAAAGAATGAAGTTAAATATTTAATATATATTATTTAATATATATAAGTTAATATAACTTACCCCCCCCCCAAACCCCCAAACAAAAACCTCAAGAATTGTGTTGTTTCAGCTCATTTTAAATAAGCATTTTAACCAAACAAAGAATATTATTTTTTTGAGTGTATTGTGAATTCTTACAGACACTCTCAGAGCACCGTGTCTGTAAATAAGTGCACACATTTACAGATTTACATTTGAGATGGTAAAATTGCAGTCATCATTCGGTTCAGGACGCTAAACATGTTCTGACAGGCTTTAAATAGCCCAGGGATTATTCTTAGTAACAATACCTGTAGTTATTCCTCTTTTCCCACTGTTGCTCCGTTATCTTATATTGCGATTAACATCAACTTGTTGGCGCCACCTGGAGGTATTTTCTATTATAGATTACCTTTAATACTTATCTTACATTCATTCATTTTCTTTTCAGTTTAGTCCCTTTATTAATCAGCTGTCGCCACAGTGGAATGAACCACCAACTTATCCAGCATATGTTTTACACAGTGGATGCCTTTTAGGCTGCAACCTAGTACTGGGAAATATCTATACACACTCATACACTTCGGCCAATTTACTTTATTACTTTCACATATAGCGCATGTCTTGGGACTCTGGGGGAGACCGGAGTACCCAGAGGAAACCCACACCAACACGGGGAAAACATGCAAATGTTGCATTATAAATCGAGACTCATCAGACCAGGAAACGTTTTCCCAAATTTCTATTGTCCAGTTTTGGTGAGCCTGTGTGAATTGTAGCCTCAGACTTCTGTTCTTACCTGACAGGAGTGACACCCTGTGTGGTCTTCTGCTGCTGTAGCCCATCTGCCTCAATGTTGGACCTGTTGTGTGTTCGGAGATGCTCTTCTGCATAGTTCGGTTGTACAGAGTGGTTATTTGAGTTACTGTTGCCTTTCTATTAGCTGAAACCAGTCTGGCCATTCCCCTCTGACCTCTCAACAAGGCATTTGTGCCCACAGAACTGTCGCTCATTGGATATGGATATTTTTTGGACCATTCTCTGTAAACCCTAGAGATGGTTGTTTGTGAAAATCCCAGTAGATCAGCAGTTTCTGAAATACTCAGACCAGTCTGGCAGCAACAACCATGCCACGTTCAAAGTCACTTAAATCACCTTTCTTCCCCATTCTGATGCTCGGTTTGAACTGCAGCAGATCGTCTTGACCACGTCTACATGCCTAAATGCATTTTAGTTGCTGCCCTGTGATTGGCTGATTAAAAATTTGCCTTAACGAGCAGTTGGACAGGTGTACCTAATAAAGTGGTCAGTGAGTGTATGATCTTTGATCTGTGCATCATTAGTCTGTACTTTTCTATGTTAAATATACTCTTTTAAGTTCGTCTGAAGTAGAGATGCGCGGATCTGCTGAAATGACACCCGAATCTGTGGCTTCATACTAATCAACCACCCGCCACCCGCCCGCTCATACAGTATTATCTGATATATGTATCCGCACCCGATCGGCACTTTAATAATTTAATTCTTTGTTTTAGGTATGATAGGTCACCGTCAGGGCAGGTCGCGGACTCCGCCCTCTTTGGGTGCTTTCACACCAGCCTTATTTAGTTCCATTGAATCGCACTAGAGTTCGTTTTCCTTTTTGGTGCGGTTCGTTTGGGCAGGTGTGAATGCAGCAATCGTACTCGAGTGTGCACCAAAAGCGGACCAAATAAGTGTACCGAGACCTGCTTGAAGAGTTGGTCTCGGTACGCTTTCAAACGAACCCTGGAGTGGTTCGTTTTTGGTGAGAATATGATCCGTACTAAAACAGGTCCAACCGCAAAAAGTACTGCAACTTTTGGACTAAATCAGCTGCCGTAGGCCGATGCGCTGTGCATTATGAGATATGGAGGAAAAATATTTGTTGACAGCGCTTTACCAACAGAGAGAGAGAGAGAGAGAGAAAACATTACCTGATGGATCGTTGGTAATATTTTCGCAAGATGACCATGTCGCAGTTTAGCTAAATTAATTCAAGACTCCTCCTGAAGTGACGTGTAATGCATTAAAACCCTGTTTTCCAGCCACAGTCGCGCTTCATTCTCGAAATGTATAGTTTGTCTAAAGCAGGCATACAATCAGTCAGCGCAGTCGTCCCTCCAGAGTAAAAACGACATTGTGTGTCTGACGGTTTTGTTTACTTGGGGGAGTTCATTGGCATTTTCCCGCATGTGAAATCTAACTAATCAATAAGCAGTTTAGGAAATAAGTTCAATAACATCTGGCCAATGAGAGATGTGGATTTTGTCAGATGACTGCATTTTGGTTCGTTTCAAATGGTTCGGACCAAAGCCAGCAGTGCGGTGTGAAAACGACCCAAAGATGGCAGAAAATGCAACAATGTATCATTTATTGCCCTTGGTCCGGACCAAATATAGCGAACTACAGATGAGAAAGCACCCTTTATTCTGCCGCCCTAGGCGGCCTCCTGGGTCGCCTCGATGAAGGCGCCGACTCTGGTCACCATGGATATTAACAGCAGATTCAGTGAACTGTAATCTGCACATCTATAATAGTAAAATAATACATCAATTGTAAACGTTTTAAATGAACATTTATTTATAAAATCAAAAGTTTGTCTTTAGACAACATTTTCTTCATTTTCAAATAGATACAGAAAGTAAAAATAAGACATTTTAGCTTTCACAGATAACAAAAAGGGTGCTACTTCAGCCTAAACAGCACCTATGTTGTTTACTTGGCCTTTTTCTTTGCACTATGCAGAAACAGAATAGCATCTATTGCACCTGTATTTGGGCACTGAACACTGAATAAGCATTTGCTTTCACCGCTTGTTGTAGGAATGAACAATAAGGCGCTGCAGTTACAGAAATATGCGATCTTGTTTCCCCCAGAACAATCGCAGAAACTCTCTGATGACTCCTCTAACTGAAACTTTGAACTGTAGGCTACTCTTTGACTTTATCCATAACTTTAGGTGTCTCATCTTCCCATTCTGCAAAGCCCACTCTGCTTTTTTCGCTGGTCCTCTGCCATGTCCCGCTACATCCACCCGCTACCGACCCGCAATTACTCATAATGTATTTTTTTATTACCCGACCCACGGATTATCCGCAGCGCCCGCGGATATTACCGCCATCCGCGCATCACTAGTCTGAAGCTATAATAATCACACTCTCTTTGTCTTTCTTCAGGTGGGCACAGAGTTCACGACCATTCTGTATAATTTCATGTGCAACAGCAGTTGTGTTGGAGGAATGAACCGCAGGCCAATCCTCATCATCATCACGCTGGAGACACGAGAGTGAGTAAACATCACTGATACTTATTTATCATTCAATTACGCTACTTTAGTTTTGTTTTGGGGGTTTCCTGAAAATTGGTTTACAATCATAAGCTCGAAAAAAAACCTGCAATGTTTCTCGTAGTTTCTATAACAATTGGTTTAAACATCTGGTCTCTCTAAACCCTTCCCCTAATCTGGAAGTTTTATTACTAGTTTATTTTTGGACTATTGGTAAATGTCTATTGGTTTTGTTGAGTACATGTTGATGAGGAAGCTCATTGGCTGCAGAGGCTACTGCAATCAATCATGTGCACTGTGTAGTTGATGACACAGTTGACAGTGGTAGATTGGATAGGATCTATCAGCCTGCAGTCCCATGACAGAACTGTGTAAGGGGCATATTGCACAAATAGGGCGCGATGAGTTTTCCAGACACACCTAGTTGAGAACATCTCAACCTTTTAGAATGTCTCAAGTACACTGAGACTCAAGTGACTAGAACTAACCAATCAGCTTCTTACTTTAGCCCCTTTCACACATACAGACGTTTCTGGTTGTATGTGTGAACAGGTCCTTTTTGAAAATACCGGTAAATTCGTTCTGGCTATTTTCCGGAAAGAGAAGTTGTAACATTACCGGCAATTTGCCGGAATGCTGCGCTGTGTGAATGCAGAAGGAAGATTGCCGTAATAAGCGCGTGCACGTCTAGAACGTGCTGACGTGAGACGTCTGCTTTAGCCAATCACAACAGTCAGACGCATTTACGTCCGCGCGGTTTGTGAGAATAAAAGCCTTTGAATATTTTTCCAGACACATTTAGCTGCTAGAAGTTAGTCAGATCACGTTTATATGTTCTTCTTAATGCCAACTGTGTAAATAATCATCGATGAGATGCTTATGATAAGCCGTTGTTTGTTTACCTTCAAGCTTTGCGTGTGCCTGTGAAACAGCCTGTGAGCGCCTGCACACGCACATATTATGAACATCTCGACATGCGAAAGTGATCCTGCGAAAGTTGTTCACAATATTGATCATCCACAGAGTTTGTAATTTAGTCGAATGTTTACAAATACAAGCGCAGCCGTTTAAAGCTCATTTGTGGTGAATGATGTCAGAATTTACCGGTATTTTGGAATGGATGTGTGAATGCTCTTTTCCGGAAAATTTCCGTGACGTCCTCGCCTGTGTGAACAGCGCTTTTTTGAATATACCGGTGAAGTCGTTTCGGAAATTTTCCAGATATTTACCGGTATCACTGTGTGAAAGGGGCTTTTGTCCCACCCAAGCAAGCCAGTGGCGACAGCGGCGAGGAACAAATTTTACCAATCGACGAAAGTGAAGCAAAAAACCTTGAGAGAAACCAGGCTTAGTTGGGCACGACCATTTCTCCTCTGGCCAAATTCTTGTGCAGAGCTGCAGTCTAGGCCCCAGATGCTGGAGAACGCAGAGCTTCGATTGTGTAGAAGCTGCAGGTGTGAGTAGGTTTGCGGCAGGTGTTCAGGCTGGCCACAAAGATCAATGCAGAGGCTTGTCTGTCACTGGGATCTTTCAGGAATCAGTCTCATGCTCTCCACTCCTCTATTACCACCACAGTATTTGCTCAGAATACGGCCTGGTCCAAGATTATGGATACCTCTAGAAGTCCTCTATGTTTGGCATCATCTCTTTACAGGCACAATCTCTAGAGGCCTCAGGTGTATCAGAGCTGCAGCAATGGTTTGTCAGTTTGTCATCCTCTTACTGTACCTTTAGACCAAAAGTGGCGAGAGCGGCAAAGTAGCTGGTAGTCATTTATTTTCAATGAGAGCCGGCGAGAAGTAGCATGGTGCAGCACGTTTTCGCCGGTGTGTGCGTCGAGGAGAGTTGAAATCAAGTCAACTTTATGGTAATAAGCTATGACGTGGTTCGGCGGCAAGCAGTCGGAATGAAGAAGTCCACCGCTTGAGAGGAGTCCAGAGAACAAAAGTCATTGTAAACTTTGGTTCCGACCACACATGTTCCCAAGGGTTTGATTATTGCGGTCGTCGGATTTCCAATTATTTGTAAAGTTTTCTTACAGGAACATACTTTTAAAATGTTGCTGGTGAGTTACTGATGTACATTAATGTTATATATATATTTTTTTTCTTTAAAAAAGCAGGACTCAATACAAAACAGTGTTGGTGCTTCAGGATATTTCAGAAATATGGACACATATTGGATAAGTGGAGCAAAGCCAGACCACATGCAACTTGATCTTCCGTAGTTAAATGAATTTGATTATAAGTGCGCAACATTTTCATGCTAGAAAGCATGTTTGATGCGGGAATGTAACTGACATATGCTGCAACGGCCCCTTTAAATACGAGATCAATGTAGCGACTCTCTCGCCGCCGGAGCTGAAGGCAGACAGCTTTGTCGCCAGGGCGGCCACAGCAACCTTTGACGCTCTCACCGCCTTCGGTGTAAACGCACAGTTAGAAAAGAGTTGATAGTCACCTAGCAATGCAAGACACCAAGGGAGGGCGAGCACAAAGTGCATTGAAAATAGTGAAGGAAGCTTTCCGCATGGTTTTAAATGTTATGTATGTGAACAGACCCTAAATCTAAACTTTTCCAGGCCTCAGCTACAACTGCAGGGTTTGAGGGTCAAAGTTGACTCACATTAACCCATGATAGTTTTTGCATCAAGTAAAGACTATTTGAAGCACCAATTAATTATGATTAATTTCAGGCAGTTCGAATCTGTTCTTTCATTTGGAAAACAATAAAATTTTTCCTACGTTAGATAGTGGCTGCGCCTGAAATCGCATACTTACCTGCTATATAGTACGTTAAAAAGAATATGTGAGCTGAGTAGTATGTCCGAATTCATGGTATTTAAAAAACAGTAGATGAGTAGTTCCTGGATGACTTCCGGTGAGATTGTGAAGTGCGCATCTAATGTACGCCACTCTATCCCATGATGCCACACGAGAGAATTCATGAATGGGAGTAAAGTGAAGCATCTGACACAGGTAGGTCACATAATAATGATAATGACAATGATAATGTTAAGACAATACTGTCAATTCGGACAAACTACTTGGCTCACATACTGTTTTTCGGATGATTTCAGTTTGAATCTAAACTAGTTATGCATCAGAACAACACAAATGAAATTGCGAGTGTATAACTTTAAACTGCATGTCAAAAATCCCCTTTCTTTTCCCACAGCGGTCAGGTTCTCGGTAGGCGCTCATTTGAGGGACGGATTTGTGCTTGTCCGGGTCGCGACCGAAAAGCAGACGAAGACCATTTCAGGGAGCAACAGGCTCTAAACGAGAGCGTGGCCAAAAATGGAAATGCCAATAAACGAAGTGAGCTAAGAATCAGCATTTTTAGTCTTCATGACATTTTTTTTTCATCTCATAAATGTTATCTTAGTTACATTATCTCTGGTTATAACTGATTTTCTTCTGTGTGGACAGATTTCAAACAGACTCCAACCAATATTACAGGCCCTTCCATCAACATCAAGAAGAGGAGGCACGGAGAAGAGGAGATGTATTACATACCAGTGAGTTGGGCTGGCAAGATTATGAAAATTATATACTTTCAATCATGTGATTAATTGTCTGTTTTGGAACCCATACAGGAATTTTATGTATTGTCAAATATGAGTATATACTATATATTAAATGGGAGTTAATTAATATATTTGAACATGTGTAAATGTAAACTGACATTTTTTACAATATTTTGAAATATATGTACATGTATGACATTTTTTAACCTCTGTGAAGTCGGCACCCCATAAAAATAAACAATCTCCAAAACTACGGCATTCGTTTGTGCTACATTTGTGCTGGTTTGTGTCTGAGATATTAAGCATTATCTTTTTGACCGTGTGACAACACTTTCCACCCTACAGTATGTAACTCAAATCACTCCAAATCAGCACAGTTCGTTTGTGCTCGATTTGTGCCATTAAAACAAATATCTATTTTTGTTGTTTAGATATAATTACGAAAATATTTCGTAATTATATCTATAACCAAAATATTTCGAAAATCGTAACGTCACTTCACCCCAGTTTCTCTAAATCGCACAAAACTGGTGTCGTTCGTTTGTGCACGATTTGTGCTGGTTTGTGCTGTTAAAACAAACACTTCATCTGTTTTCGTTGTTTAGATATAACCAAAATATTTTGGGAGCCGTAACGCCACTTCACCCCAGTTCCTCTAAATCGAACAAAACTGGTGCCATTCGTTTGTGCTCGATTTGTGCCGTTAAAACAAACACTTTATCTATTTTCGTTGTTTAGATATAACCAAAGTATTTTGAGAATCGTAACGTCACTTCACCCCAGTTTCTCTAAATCGCACAAAACTGGTGTCATTCGTTTGTGCTCAGTTTGTGCTGGTTTGTGCTGTTAAAACAAACACTTTATCTATTTTCGTTTGTTAGATATAACCAAAATATTTCGGGAGCCGTAACGCCACTTTACCCCAGTTCCTCTAAATCGAACAAAACTGGTGCCATTTGTTTGTGCTCAATTTGTGCTGGTTTGTGCCGTTAAAACAAACACTTTATCTGTTTTCGTTGTTTAGATATAACCAAAGTATTTCGAGAATCGTAACGTCACTTCACCCCAGTTCCTCTAAATCACACAAAACTGGTGTCATTCGTTTGTGTGCAATTTGTGCTGGTTTGTGCCATTAAAACAAACACTTTATCTATTTTCGTTGTTTAGATATAACCAAAATATTTCGGGAGCCGTAACCTCACTTCACCCCAGTTCCTCTAAATCACACAAAACTGGTGTCATTCGCTTGTGTGCAATTTGTGCCATTATAACAAACACTTTATCTGTTTTCGTTGTTTAGATATAACCAAAGTATTTCGAGAATCGTAAAGTCACTTTACCTCAGTTCCTATAAATTGCACAAAACCATTCGTTTGTGCTCGATTTGTGCTTTTTATGATATAAAGGTTTCAGAATAAACTATATTGGCCTTGGCTATTTTAATATCTAAAAAACAAATCATCACAAACAAAAATTCTTCCAGCATAAACAAATAACTATATTTTAGAATATCATGATGTCATTGTCTTTAATTCAATATTTTGATAACAAAAGCATTACTAACAAAACTTTCATAGGTACAATCCAGCACAAATGAAGCACACAAGCGCGACTATTTTGGCAACTGAGGCAGAGAGACCTCTGAATGAACAAAAATAATTTTATTAGGCCTATAAAATAACACAAACGAGTACAAACGAAAATAATATATCCGTGCACAAATAAATATCTGATGTTCATTTCAACGGCACAAATAAAGCACAAAATAATGACACCAGATTTGTGTGATTTAGAGAAACTGGGGTGAAGTGATGTTACGATTTTCGAAATACTTTGGTTATATCTAAAAAACGAAAATAGATAAAGTGTTTGTTTTAATGCCACAAACTAGCACAAATTGCACACAAACGAATGACACCAGTTTTGTGCGATTGGGGTGAAGTGACGTTGCAGCTCCCGAAATATTTATGTTATATCTAAACAAAGAAAATAGATAAAGTGTTTGTTTTAATGCCACAAACTAGCACAAATTGCACACAAACGAATGACACCAGTTTTGTGCGATTGGGGTGAAGTGACGTTACAGCTCCCGAAATATTTATGTTATATCTAAACAAAGAAAATAGATAAAGTGTTTGTTTTAACGCCACAAATCGAGCACAAACAAACTGTGCTGATTTGGAGTGATTTGAGCAACATAGGGTGGAAAGTGACATTGCAGAGTCAAAAAGATAATGCTTAATATCTCAGACCCCAAACCAGAACAAACATTCGTTTTTGCAGCACAAATCAGGACTAACGAATGCCAGAGTTTTCGGGATTATTTAGTTTTATGGGGTGCCAACTTCCCAGAGGTCATTTACCCTGTCTATGAGTTCCAAATATGAACTTGGATGGTAAATAAGTGATTTAATCATATTTCCTTATATCAGATTTCTATATGGGGCTGCCATGTTTATTTTAATGTGTTGAGACTATTTGACTCTTTTGTAAGTTGTCATTTTGCACCTCTAAATATTAAAGTAATTTATTTAATGCAAAAAAATGTAAAGAAAAAACACCACAAACTTGCTTTAATCACATTATCAAAGTATGCCATTTTAAAGTAATTACAGCAAGACAACCACGGTTAGACTAAATAACCACATTTAGACTACATTTTTGGCAGGAAAAAGCATTTTAAAAATAGCTGAAATATATATCAGCCGGTAAAAAAGCTATGCTATGCTGCGCCTGATTGTTACACTCTTCATCCGCATTTACTGTGCAGTCTAATTGTCTTTCACACTGGACGCAGAAAGCACTATGCTATGAAACCCATTTATTTCAATGGCATACACTGAGCAACGGTAGGCTGACCAAGAGCAGCAGAGCACACCTTCGACTACCTTGTGCCACAGTCAAAGTCAAACATAGTTCAATATTTCACTGCCAAATGCATCCAGATTTGTCAGTTTTGGGCCCAGAATTTTCATGTCAATGCATTGAGTGTTGATGAACCCGAAACATAACCTACTTGTAAGTTTGTGATAAGATTTTTTTTGTCCCTTAAAATGCTTGGATTGAAAAAGAAGTTCATTTTTCTTGTCATATAACACATTTGGATTGTTTTGAAGGTGCGCGGCCGGGAAAACTTTGACATCCTGATGAAGATAAAGGACAGTTTGGAGCTTGTAGAGTTTGTCCCACAACAGTTAGTGGATTCATACAGACAACAACAACAGCAGCTCCTCCAGAGACAGTGAGTGTTTATATACAGTATTAATCATACACTGCCTATTACGTTTTATTAATATTTTTATTCAGCATCAAATATATTTGAAAAAAATATTTGAGTCATTTTCTCACCCTTCGCTTGTTTCAAACCTTAATGAGTTTCTTCTGTCGAACACTAAAGAAGATATTTTGAAGAAAGCTGGAAATCTGTAACCTTTGATCTCCACAGCTTTTCCTACTATGGAAGTCAATGGTTACAGGCTTTTAGCTTTCTTCAAAATATCCTCTTTTAACAAAATAAGGTTTTTAAAACCACTTCCGAGTGAATAAATATTTATTTTTGGGTGAACTATCCCTTTAATTTCTTATAATATTTTGGAATTTCATTGTACTCAATTAATTTTTTTTTAAATAACTGCATCTTGGGTTAGTGTATTTTAAAAATGAATGACCCCAAACGTTTGAACATTAGCGTGTATATATTTAAAAAAAAAAAAAAAAAGAAGATCTGCTAGGCCTTTCTTATTCATCTAGCATTTAGTGTTTATTTGAGGGCTGTGTATGAATCATGTGTCTGTCATGTGATTCACAGAAATCATGTCGCCTCTCCGTCTTCATACGGGACACTCAATAACATGAATAAGATTCACGGGCCAATAAGCAAACTGCCCTCAGTGAATCAGCTCGTGACACAACAGACCCAGCAGAGCGCAGGACCCTCCGCATCTTTATCACATATGGGTGAGCTTCAGATTTCACTTACGTTTGTATAGTCCTTTCAACAGATTTCCCATGAAAACACTGCTTTTGCTGCATCTATATGAAAAAGATTTTAGGACTAATTCATAAAACAATCTCTGTCGCCATCTGATGGTGGAACTATGTAACATCAACTGTCAATCGACACAATCAGACCATTTTAGAGTACAAAGTGAAGTTTCATAAACTAATTTCGAGAGGAGCACGTGATATGATTGTGCACCGCTGGCCACTCATCCGTAATCAGTAATAATCCAATCAGAATGATTCTAGCTTAGTATAAATGGATCACTTTCTCCTCATTGCACTATCTTGGTTTTGGAAGAATCCCCCCTTCCACCCCATCTCCTCCTTTTTCTCCCCTTCTAAAGGGGGAGCGATCGAGACCTACCTGATCTCGGTTCTCCTGATATCCTTCTAAACCGGGTGGGAGCCCTGGGCTCAAATATCTCCGAGCTCAGGGTTCTCTCCCGGGACAGCATGTCAAACCTGCTATAAGTGCCAAGCATATCTAAGTGGGAACTCTTGAAACACTTGTTTTAGGGTGCTTTCACACCTTTAGATTGATTGTTTTGTTCCGAAACAGGGATTAAAATTGCTGCAATGTTTATTTTGTTACTGGCGCGCTTGTATTTCACACAGCAAAGTTTCTAAACAGACCAAAATTATCAAAACATGTCATGTGCAAGTAAACTCCCCTCACATTGGTCAGTTTGCTGTATTTTCCGCAATTCTGCTCAGCTGTCATACGTTATTGTTTTAATTTATGACAACGAGAATGAGACATTATAAACGAAAAGGTGCACAGTTAGGAATGATATCTCTACTCAATATTCTCTCTTATAGCCATAAACACTTACAGGCCACTTTATTAGGTACACCTGTCCAATTGCTCGTTAGAGCAAATTTCTAATCAGCCAATCAAATGGCTGCAACTAATGCATTTAGGCACGTAGACATGGTCAAGACGACCCGCTGCAGTTCAAACCGAGCATTAGCATATGGAAGAAAGGTGATTTAAGTGACTTTGAATGTGGCATGGTTGTTGCTGCCAGTCAAGCTGGTCTGAGTTTTTCAGAAACTGCAGATCTACTGGGATTTTCACACACAACCATCTCTAGGGTTTACAGAGAATAGTTCAAAAAAGAGGAAATATCCAGTGAGCGGCAGTTCTGTGGGTGCAAATGCCTTGTTGATGCCAGAGGTCAGAGGAGAATGGCCAGACTGGTAGCAGCTGATAGAAAGACAACAGTAGGTCAAATAACCACTCGTTACAACCGAGTTATGCAGAAGAGCATCTCTGAGCGCATAGAAGACCACACCGGGTGCCAGCTGTCAGCTAAGAACAGGAAACTGAGGCTAAAATTCGCACAGGGTTATCAAATTCGCACAACAGAGGATTGAAAAACGTTGCCTGGTCTGATGAGGCTTGATTTCTGCTGCAACATTTGGATGGTAGGGTCAGAATTTGGCATCAACAACATAGAAAGATGAATCCATCCTGCTTGTATCAACGATTCAGGCTGCTGGTGGAGGTGTAATGTCATTTCTTGGCACACTTTGGGCCCATTAGTACCAATTGAGCATCATGTTAACGCCACAGCCTACCTAAGTATTGTTGCTGACCATGTCCATCCCTTTATGACCACAGTTTACCCATCTTCTGATGGCTACTTCCAACAGGAAAACGCACCATGTCCTAAAGCGCAAATCATCTCAGATTTTTTTCTTGAACATGACAATGAGTTGACTGTACTCTAATGGCCTCCACAGTCACCATAGCTCAATGCAATAGAGCACCTTTGGGATGTGGTGGAATGGAAAATTTGCATCATGGATGTGCAGCCGACAAATCTGCAGCAACTGCGTGATGCTATCATGTCAATATGGACCATCCCAACCCGGTACTAGTAAGGTGTAGCTAATAATGTGGCATTTAAGTGTAGGGGATGTCTATATGGACATAAATAAAGTGTATTTCAGTAAAAAAAAAAAAAAAAACTGAATTTGATTAGTTATCAACAAGTTATTTAATAAGCCGAGGCAACAAAGAAATTAATAACAGCTGAGCTTCTGTATGAGTTCTGGTAAATTAACTAATTGGAACCTTGTGGCAAAGCATTACATACAATACATTAGCCCTGTGAATTTATCAATTAAAATAAATAAACAGAATTTCCAAAAATGTCTTAGGCCAGTTTAACATGTGAAAAATGTTTAAACTATTAAGCTTAATCACCAAGCATTTGCTAATGTTACGAACACCACTGCAAATACAATGCGTATATTCAATAACATTAAATAATAAATAATTATTGACAGTACAATCACTGTTCATTATCACGATGTATTGAATTGTTGAATACCACATGTTTGCTGATGTGGTCTTGTGGATTTGCTGTTGCAGGTGCGAACATGTTGGGAGGACACCACATGCAGTCTAACGGCGATGTGAATGGCGCTCACCAGTCCCAGTCTATAGTGTCCACCTCTCACTGTACCCCTCCCCCACCTTACAACCCCGACCCCAGCCTCGTCAGGTACTTCACCCTGCAGTAGAGCACATTCACACTGCACTACACAGCACCAACAAACAAATCCGCCTCTGAAACAATCTTATTCTAGACATGGGTAACACTTTACAATGAGATACTCCTAGTAATATTAGTAAACATGGATTAAGATGTTTACATGGTCAACAATATGCAGACATTGACACAATAAAGGGATAGTTCACCCCAAAATTAAAAGCTTCCTAGTGCTTTGAAATGTGCATTCTTTATTCGAAATTTGACGTAATCTCAACTGAAACATTACAAGGGGGCAGGACATAGAGTAGCTCCACCTCTTTAAAAAAGACAGCCAATATAATTTGGTTTTATCCCAACTCTGCCACTTCGCATTAAATGAAAAGCATCTTGAAGGAGGCGGGGCATATCAGATGCTTGCATTTGATTGGTTATGATTTGATGAGAAACTGAAGTATGACATGACGTGAAAAAAAAAACGATCTGTTTAGGCGCAAGCGTCAAACTACAAGCTTTGAATGTTCATATCAGGTTTATTTCTTATAAATGCAGGGTTGTTAACACGTAGTGGCTAAACAAATACTTTTTATCCAGCTAAAGTCTTTCTTAAAGTAAACAAATAGGGCGCAAGACATGTTAGGTGAGGTTTGTTGCTATTTTCAGACCAGCGCAACCCTAATTTTCACATTTTGCACCACAATGTTTAAATAACAAATACATTTGTGCCACTTTGGGGACTCATGGGTGTGCCGGTCTGAAAAGGAGCTGTGGTAAGCCTGGTTTATACTTCTGCGTCGAGTGATTGGCATGACCCATGCGTTGCTGTGCATTCATACTTCTGCGTGTTGTTTGTTTTGCACTGCAATAACACTTCTAAAGCGCTAGCTGGCAGTGGGTTTTTATGTTCTTCTATGTCGAGTTTCTTCACTGGTGTTTTGTTTTTTCTGAACGCTACCTAAATGTACAAGTAGCTAAAACTCACTCATTCTGAGGCGGGAACCGGCGGACGTGCAACAACTTGATTCATCAGGTAAACACAAAACAAAAGTTTTCCTGGAGATTCTTCACTGGTTCGACACTTGTAAACACTCACTCCAACGGGTTCGCGAGGCTCTCAATTTTGCCCACACTTGTCAGCGTTACCAAGCTGACCAATCACAGAGCTTGTGCTACGCGTCGTTGCGATGTGTAGTTACATTTTTTTGAGAGGTGCGCGTCAGCATCAGCCACAGTGAGGGCTATGCCACAGTCCCCGCCAAGCATACTTGTGCACTTGATGCAGAAGAATAAATCAGCCTTTAAGGCGCATTGTTGGCGCGTTGCTAATTTGAGGAACTGAAATAGACTGCACCACTGACCAACTGAAAGCAGGTCTAAAGTCTCCATCGCAGATAGCATCGCTTAAACAGATTGCTTAACACACACAGGATGTACAGCAATCGCATACATATGAAATATCTTTACATATGAAAAAATAAAGGATTAAAATGGTACATAAATTATTATTTTCTACATAAATAAAAAACCACTGCCTCCATGCTTTCTTTATGTCGGGGGGGCTTTTGCAGTTTATTCATGAGAGTTATTTGCTATTAATATTATTAGTTATTAATATATTAACATTACAGATATTAGTTATTATTATTAGCAGTATTATTTATTATATTCATATTTATATTTGTTATAATAAAACAAGTTTAGATTTGTCCACCTGTTGGGTTTTGGAGACGTATCCATCACCATATGGACAATACGAATAGGACGTGTGTTTGGATATAACTATTCTACACTGCGTTATTATTGTTCATTTATTGGTTTGCTGGAAATTAGAACTGAATTTAGAAATAGTTGTGAAACAAATCTTTGCGCTTAACAAACTAAATTAAATATGTAGGCTAATGGATGTCTTCAGTGGAGTGGGTATAACACCATTTTCTCATCCACGAAAGTAAAGGAGTAAAGAGTAAAAGTTAAGTAAAGAGAAAGTAAAGAGGCTGAATGGAGGAGGCTCATTCTTTATCCTCGCGCTGCAGATGCTCTGTTTAACTGTTTTCTCGCTAGTCAAGCGTTCAGTTTGTCAACTTACAAAGTCCGCCATGTAAATAGCAAATGTGCCATGGTGCGACGCAACTGACTCTTAAAGGGAATGGGAGACAGACTCTACTTGGTTTAATACACATTATGCTCAAAACACACGCATAACTCATTCAGAGAATAAGCACAACCCTGTTAGACCATGTGCTGCGGCGCAGACTATATTTTTCTCTGTCCTTAAAATAGCAAAAGTGGATTCGAACATGCCCTTAATGCTTTTGCGCCATGTGCAATAGACTGCGCCTAGATCGTTAAAATAGAGCCCATGGATTTGGTTGTACTTGGGGTGGCTTAGTGGTTAGCTCTGTCGCCTAACAGCAAGAAGGTCGCCGGTTTGAGTCCCGGCTGGGCCAGTTGGCATCTCTGTGTGGAGTTTGCATGTTATCCCCGTGTTTTCGTGGGTTTCCTCCGGGTGCTCTGGTTTCTCCCACAGTCCAAAGACATGCGCTATAGGGGAATTGGGTAATCAAAATTGTCCTGAGTGTGTGAATGTGAGAGTGTATGGGTGTTTCCCAGTACTGGGTTGCGGCTAAAAGGGTAAAACATGCTGAAATAAGTGAAAGTTCATTCCACTGTGGCAACCCCTGATAAATAAGGGACTAAGCCAAAGGGAAATGAATGAATGAATAGATTGCATGAATTAATGAATTTGATTGTACTTATATGGTTGTTGTCCTTTTCTATTGGTTGAGTAACAGATTGTCCTACTTCCGTGCCAGTGCACACCAATCAGAGACGAGTAGAGATGTCTTTTGCAAGAAGGAGGGAAATGTATTGGATTAGTAATTATAAATTATAGCAAACATGCTAGCTAATGTTAACTAATGGGTAATTATTGTAAAGTGTTACCAATCTTTACGTAGAGCTGGTGAGTTATACTACACAAGAGATTATTTTGATTATAAGGACGCTATTGCTTTTAAAGCAGTTGTTGCTTTCTTTTTTATCCTTCATTTTTATTTGTACATAGGAGTAATACAATTGTAAATATTTCTCTGCTGGTCAGAGAAAGCTTTTGACGTTGAGCCTTTTTGATACTTATACATATTCACATTTCAAGCACATTATTTGTTTACATTTTTTATAATCACACATATACACTCACATGGGCTGGGCAGGGGTCGCGAGGTTACTTTCTAAATGTCCCGTACAGTTTCCTTAGTTTAATGAGTCTCATAAAAACATGTCTGGTACACCTCAGAATGAAAAATAAGAAATTATATTTTGCTTGTCCTGGTTTAAGCACTATTAAAAGGAAACATTGTATTCAGATATTAGTTTTATGACAATTAAACTAAATAATGATCTATAATAAAGGGACTTTTTTGTCTTTTGCTGTTATAGTTATTCTCCATAGTATTTTTGAATTTTTTTTTTATTAAAAACACACAAGTACCACTTACATTTTATATTTTACTGTCTTTTTTATTACATTTCTTGAAAAATGCATTAGTTTTTTTTTCACTATAGAAATGTCAATCCAATAAATGTTGGCCCAAAAATACTTTAAAAAAAACCAAAATCGTGTTTCTATCAGCAAATTGTCATTTCTTTTATTTTTTCCTTTTGGCTTTGGACTGAAAAATGACTGAGTTTTTCTGAGATTCACCTTCATCTTTGTTTTAGTCCATTACCACCAACAACCTGTGATTCTTATTTACCCACTTAATAACATTTGTTCATTCTGGAACTTAGTTTTTAAGTAAATATGTCTCACAGACTTCATTTTCAAAGGTTTGCTTATTAATATAAATGTTCTTGAGTCCATGTTTTGTTTAAAGTGACTTAAAATGCACAACTGCTATATTAAATCAGATATAGTGAGTTATTTCATCAAAAACAAACATGATGATGTAACGATTTCTTACTTTCATGTAGTTTTTGCTTGTCTCAGCTGCTGTAGTTTAAAATACTCTGTCGGCTTTATTTGCTACATTTACTGTAATTTTTTTATTGTATCAAGCAAAAGTTTTTGCTGAAATATTTAAAATAAAAAGATCAACACAATGAAAAATCTTGTTACGCATCATTAATGTAATTGCATGTTTTGATTGCTTTTTCATTTCTAAAAATCAAATCCTCTAAAAAAATTCATACACAGCATGAAGCTTTTCATTTACCTACACCATGGTTCAAAAGTTTGGTTGTTTTTTTAAAGCAAATTAATGTTTATCTTGCCAAGGATGCAATACATTGGTCAATACGGACAATATAAAAGTTTGAAAAATTGTAAGAACTTTCAAATGTTTTTTTTTTTTACCATTTATAGTAATACATATTATAAAAAAATACAAAAAAATCTATTTTAATGGGTACTGAAAATTCACCTTTTAACATTACTTTTAACATATCAACTTCTGTTTGATATTGATATTAAAAATGAAACTTTTGGTCGATACCAATATCGATATTAACAAAAAATCACTGATCAATAACAACATTGACAAAGAACTTTTGGCTGATATCAATATCAACAATAACAAAAAACTTATAATAGATATATCGATATCAACAATAAATTTTTGGTGATACCAATATCGATATAAAAAAACACTGTTGATACCGATATTAACAATGAACTTTTGGCTGATACCAATATTGATATTAAAAAAAAACACTGACTGATACCGATATTAACAAAAAACTTTTGGCCCGATACTAATATCGATATTAACAAAAAACCACTGACCGATACCAAAATTAACAATAAACTTTTGGCCGATACCAATATCGATATTAACCAAAAAAATCATAGACCGATACCGATATTAACAAAAAAAACCTTTTGGCTGATACCAATATCGAACAACAAAAAACTTATGTTTGATATATTGATATCAACAATAAATTTTTGGTGATACCAATATCGATATACAAAAAACACTGATACCGATATTAACAATAAACTTTTGGTCAATACCAATATTGATATTAACAACAAACCACTGACTGATACCGATATTAACAAAAAAACTTTTGGCTTCATACTAATATCGATATTAACAAAAAACCACTGACCGATACCGATATTAACAATAAACTTTTGGTCGATATATATATTGATATTAACAAAAAAAACACAGTCAGATACCGATATTAACAAAAAATACTTTTGGCCGGTACAAATATCGATATTAACAAAAGCTTTCTGACCAGTACCGATATTAACAATATATTTTTGGCCGATACCTATATCGATATTAACAAAAAACTTCTGTTCTATACTGATATTAACAATAACATTTTGGCCGATACCAATTGTCAATATTAGCAAAAACCTTCTAATTGTTAACGATACTAACAATAAACATTTGTTTGATACGAATAGCGATATTAACATAAAACTTCTGATCAATACCGTTATTAACAATAAACCTTTGGTCAATGCCGATATTAACAAAAACCTGGTAATATTGATATTGCAAACAGTACTTGCTAGTTTTTATTTTTTTGCTCTCCATTAAATTTACTGAACATGGATTGGATCATTTTTACGTTCAACTTTTCAACATATTAAGTAAGGAGATAAAATGATTTTTGCTATTCAGCATTTTATAATCTACAGTAATGTTTATTTGACATATAATAAAGCATATTTATTTAATAAACTTAAAAAATAGTGCCAGTGCTGTTGCTTAATGTAAATTCTAAATTTTGCTTCTCCAGACAAATATTCACTCTCTAAAGTGCAGTCGTTTCTTTATTTTTTTTATTGTGAAGATGGTTTAGTACAAACAAACCTATAGTTTTGTGTCAGTACACTAGTTGCTTTCCCGATGCACATAAAACATTTAGTACATCTTGGACTACGATTTTATAAAGTTTGCATGCTAATATTTAATGATCATGTTTTGAGAAATGTTGGACTATTTAAAAGTATTATTGTCGATAGCTTTAATTTAATCCAATATTGACCAATAAATATCGGCAGCCGATATTTCGGTGCATCCTAGTATTAATGTCTATTATGATCAAACAAATGCAGACTTGGCAAGCATAACAGTCTTCTTCCAAAAACATTTAAACATTGAACCAAACTTTTGAATAGTAGCGTATATTGCATATTCACTATACATTAAACTGGTACTTGTATCGTCATTTAACCATGATTGCAATACACATGCTTTGTTTTGATTTTGTCATCAACATTCATGTTATCATTTCATCAGTATTGATAATAATGGCTGTGCAGATGCAAATGCCATGGTGCTTTGCTTTGTTATGTTCTCCATGGGTGAATATGTAATTCACAGGACGCAGCCGCTTGGTCTTAGTGGGATTCCTTTTCTCTCTGAACAGTTTCTTAACCAGCCTGGGCTGCCAAAACTGTATCGACTACTTCACGTCTCAGGGACTCCAGAGTGTGTACCACCTTCAGACTCTTACTATGGAGGTAAAGCAACAGTTCAGTCAATACAGTCTCATTCATTATCTGTCCATATTTTCAGCAGCAGTGTTGGGTGCCTCAAGTATTTACCATGAGGAAAGTCATATTTTTCAGGATCTGTTTATTAACTAGTATGCTTTAACATTTGTAACACAATTAAATAATCTGACATTTTATGGAGAACTAGTCAGTGCCTGATGACACTGATAGAATACAACTATTTGAACCTAAAACTCGAGGTATTGGGGCACATCAGTGGAGTTGCTCTTTAGTGTTTGGGCCTTCTGCAGTGACATTTACACTAACCTAACTGTGAAAACTAAACTGAAGCAGTTTTAATTTACAAGAACTTCATCTTTGTTAAGCTACTTTGACACAATCTACATTGTAAAGGCGCTATAGAAACAAAGATTGAGTTCAAAATCAGAAAAGTTAAGGTTATTAGTTACCATGTGGGGGCTCGTCCGGGATAGGAATGAGGTTTAGGGGGGTAAGCATAACCGAGGCCAGCTAGCAAAGTGCTATGCAGGTAAACCTCAAAAGTTGCTCCAGTGACAGATGGTCTTTAGCCTCCTTGTTAGAGCAACCATTTCCCATACAAAGAAAAGCTCAGAGCAGGTTCGGTGCAGTAGGATCAGTGGGTTACACTTATACCTGTTAACAGTTCCAAGTTGATATATATAAACATAGTTAACATGCCGTTATATATTAAATAGGTGATGTCTATGTGTAGATGTTAAATGAAGTGTATTTGTGTATTTAAGTGTATGTGTTGTCCTCAAAGTCTTCGATGGTTGGCATCATCTCTTTGCTCTGCACAATCTCTAGTGTCATCGAGGTCTAGATCCCCAGGTGGAAATCGAGAACCAAGAAAATAATTAGCGTAGCTGCTATTTATAACGTATTTGAGCGCGATATTAATGTCAATGTGAAAATGGGAAAAGTGCTATAAATTAAAAACAAGCATATAACCAAAAAATAGAAGTATTTCTAATAGAGTGCATGGTGCATTAGGACAGGAAGAGTGTGTCCAAGGGGTGGTTTGTCAAGCCCACTCACCTGCATGGAGCACACTTATATGCATCAACTATTTACTAAAAAGATAAGTCTTTAATCTAGTTTTGAACTGAGCGAGTGTGTTTGAGCCTCGGACATTATCAGCAAGGCTGTTCTAGAGTTTAGGAACCATATATATGAATGCTCGACCTCCTTTAGTGGACTTTGCTATTTTGGGTACTCCAGAAGTCAGTTGAGATTGAGCGAGGTTGGATTGTAGCGAGACAGAAGGTTGGCTTGATGAACAGGAGCTATACTATTCAAAGCTTTATAGGTAAGAAGCAATGTTTTATAATACGTAGAACTTAGCAGGCTACATCACTGTAGGTCTACTGTAAACACAAATTAATTTACAAAAACTTTTGACAGATATCGAGATAAACAAAAACCTCAGATTAATACCGATATTAACAATAAACTTTTGGCCAATACAATGTGAAAAGTGCTATATATTATAATAGGTGCTATTTAAACAAACCTATAAAATATTTCAAACAAAGTGCCTGGTTCATTAAGACAGGAAGAGTGTGTACTTAGGGTGGTTCGTCAAGCCCACTTATCCTCATGGAGCAGGCTCATGTGCATCACCTATTTACCAAAAAGATAGGTCTTTAATCTAGTTTTGAACTGAGAGTGTCTGAGCCTCGAACATTATCAAGAAAGCTCTTCCAGAGTTTAGGAGCCATATATGAGAACACTCAACCTCTTTTAGTGGACTTTGCTATTCTAGTTACTACCAGAAGCCCTGAGTTTTGTGATCTTAAAGAGTTGAAGGTTGGTTCTGCTTATCTAACCAACATTCTGTCTCACTACAATCCAACCAACTTTTTAAGATCTCGAAAGTCGAGGCTTTTGGAAGTACTAAGAATAGTGAAGTCCACTAAAGGAGGTTGAGCATTCTCATGTATGGTTCCATAAACAAGAGCTAGACTATTTATAACTTTTTAGGTAAGAAGCAATGTTTCATAATTAATACAGAACTTAGGCTACAAACATCACCGTAGGTCTACGGTAAGCATGAAGGAACTATGGCAAATCTCGTTTTCCCACAGGACCTTGGGGCCCTGAAGATTCCTGAGCAGTTCCGGCTGGCGATCTGGAGGGGTCTGCAGGAGATGAAGCAGGGCCATGATTATGGCCAGCAGCTGATCCGCTCCAGCAGTAACATGGCCACCATGGCCATCGGCCCCAGCGGAGAACTGCAACGGCAGCGCGTCATGGAGGCCGTGCACTTCAGAGTCCGCCATACCATCACCATCCCCAACCGCGGACCGGCCAACGGACCCGAGGAATGGCCCGACTTCGGCTTTGACATGCCCGACTGCAGGTTACACAAACACTCCATTAAAGAGGAGTTTGCCGAAGGCGACGTTCACTGAGAAGAGCCGGCTTTTTTCCCCACACGCATTACTATATTGTACGTATTGGGTCATTGAAACTGCAGCAGACGGTTTATATTTTCAATATAGTAGCACTTCTGTACTTTTTAGTTCCAGACAAAACATTTTATTTGATTGTCATTCGTGGCCTTACGCTAATATTACAATCACTAACAACAACAAAACAGTCAATTTAAAGTCACTGATTAAAAACAACGATATTGGTGGTATGTAGATTTTTGAATGGGTAGAAGCCGTGTGACATTTCAGAATATTGCCTTATTTATTATTTGGCTTGGTGTAAATAATATTTGTGCAATTGTGTATGATATTGACGCATGTATGTTCGAAACAAGTGTGAAGTTGTGGATTAAGTAAATGCTTTGACTTATGAATCATGCTGTATATTTGCAGATCTTGATAAGCGCGAGTTTATCGAAGCCATATGTGTGTGACTTGATCAAAAGGCATTGTGTAGTTGAATTATTCTCTCGTTACAATATGTCATAATTTATGTGTGATTCATCATTCAGGAGTTTTACAATGAAAAGAGACATTCGGAAGTGGGACTCGACCACAGGATAAAAAAATAAATCAAACTTTTAATTTAAATTCAAATTTTAGATTTTAAAAATTGGCTGAATGTTTATCTTGCAATATAACATGTGGAACAGACAGATTTCTCACAATTCTGTTAATTGTTTAAAAAAATAAAACGATTTATTTAAATTAAATAATATACAGTGGTCCCTCATAAATCATGAGAGTTACGTTCTTAAAATAACTCGCAATAGGCAAAATCCGTAAAGTAGTCTACTTTATTGTTTCACTTATTACATGTTTTAAGGCTGTAAAACCGAATGTAACAAACCGATAATTGATTTATTCTGTAATGGTGCCCTACATCCACGTAACTTCAACCTGTCCTTTAGCATATATAGAAGTCCAACATTTTGTGCGATGGTTAGCATCTTTCTTTGCCTATTGGGGGCTAACGCAGGTGCCTTTGTGGGTGCAGAACAATCGTCAATATTATGGGGTTTGTTGCAAACACAGTCCAGCACTTTAATTCACGAATCTGTGAATCTGGCAAGCTAAACGCATTCTGTACTGTACAGAAGACACAGCACGGAGGAGATTGACTGACATTGGTCTACAGCCAATCAGGACGCAGAACACAATACCCTAATTACGACGCAGAACACAATGTGCAGTGAAAAAAGCATGTCAAAATGCCACCCAAAAAATTTTAAACTGTGAGGCCTCGAAAGGTAAACCGCGTTATAGCGAGGGACCACTGTACTTTTAAAATAAATAAATAGTCACAGTTTTGAGATTTCACGTTATTTCTTTCAATTATAATTCTCATTATGTAATTATATTCATAGGCTTCCTTGCGATTTTGAGTTTTCGTTTCACAACTCTGACTTTTTGTTTAGAATTTCGACTTTATTTCTTTCAATTGGGAGTTTATTTTGCAGTTTTGGGTTTGCTTCTTACAATTCGACCTTTATTTTTTGCGATTATGACTATTTTCACAGTGTATTTCACAATTTTGAGCTTTTTTTAGAATTTAATTTTATTTCTTGCAATTTTGTTTTAAGGGCTATTTTAGGACAGTGTTTCTCAACCACGTTCCTGAAGGACAACCGACCCTGCATGCTTTGGATGTCTCTTTTGTCACACCTATTACAGGTCTTTCAGACCCCATTTACACCATTTGTTTTAGTTTAAAACGCATAACTTTTGCTACGGTTACACCTTCCGTCAATTCTACCCCAGAGTTTTCGAAGCCCCAAAAACGGAGCATTTCGGAAATGCTGAAGAGGCCGTTTTCTTTTAAAAACACTGCTGCTCCATGTCAGTGTGGATGGAGAATATTATAATAAATATTACCATCTCTTTTGCTGAACATCAAATTTAATAAATAATAATGGCCATTATAAAAGTAATGTACAATAAGTTTACACAATATCTAATGTGTCCTTAGATAGAGACAAGATGAATTAAATATCACGTTTATCAACTATAGTGAGATGAGATCCAGCGGTAGATCCTTGATGAGCTGTCCGACGTGTGCTGCTCTCACCTGGGTAGTTGTGCTCAAAGCACCCATTGACTGCCTGGAGCTCAGACCTGTGCATATGCTGTAGCGCATGTCAGAGTGTGTGTGGTCTTGTGATTTGCGTTTTCAGCAGTGTTGTGTAGACGGAGAGTTGTTCAGAAACTCTGGGTGAAATTCCAGTGTGGACCCGGATCGTTTTCATTCTAAAAATTATTAAAATGTTTTAGGGAAAACTCACACTATGCTATCCGAACCGTGCCCAGGCCTGTTTTCTGGATCATTTGAGAAGTGTGAGTGTTCTGAATCGCGCTCAGGCACGGTTCACTTGGGCTTTGGCGCGGTATGCTTATAGTGTGAGTGCAAAGCAAGCCAGAGACGTGACTTTTACGGGGCTGTTTCATATGGATTAATTAATCATTCTTACTGTTTAATAAACGCAAACTGTTGTAGGTTATTAAAGACGCAAACCCTCACTGCACGACAGCTGCACCTTCAGCAAACCTCCTAATTCCTCCAGCACGAGGACTTTATGATTGTTTATGGACGTCTAAAGTGCCGGATCTGTTCGGCGAAATATTTGACTGCGTGTCACCGCATATCAAACAACCAAAACGATAAAACTAAAGAAATCTCCACTGCGATGAGCGAAATCGCTTACTGAACAGCACATCATCGATGACGTTTGTGTGCCCAGGCCCGAATGTAATGTGAGTGCGGGCCGTCGAGGTAGCTGGGACAAGCGTGCTTTGGCCTGGTTCAAGTCAAGTGTATATAGTGTGAGTACATTTAGTGTACACAGGGTCTTAAGCTGCTTCTGAAACCACCTACTACTAAGTAGGTACTGCATTTAAACTTAAACATACTACTCAGCCTTTAGAAAAGTACGTTCTATACAGTATATACAGACTACATCCGCCATTTTCACATGACCTACCTGCGTCAGTTGCGTCGCTTCACTTCCATTCATGAATTCTCTCGCGGGGCATTATGGGATAGCGCAGTGTGCATAGGATGTGCACTCCAGAATTTCGCCGGAAGTAGTAAGTCATCCGGGCACTTCTCACATACTGATTTTCGAATTCTATTAATTCGGACATACTACTCGGCTCGCATACTGATTTTAGCGTACTATATAGTATGGAAGTATGCGGTTTCGGACGCAGCCTTAGTCTCTGCTAATGAGCAGATGATCGGAATCAGGTGTGTTTGGTTAGGGAAATGTGCAGAGCTGGTGGTCCTCCATGAACGTGGTTGAGAAACACTGTTCAGGATATTTACTATTTAGGATATTTACTTCTACGTTTTCTGACTTTTCTCATATTCGTGACTTTGTCTTGAAATAGTGAGTATTTATTTTGATATAGCATGTAACTGAAAATGATTATAGACAACCCGGCAGTTCTTTAAATAAACAGCAGAATCACGAGAACTACAGTATCAATTGCAATTAAATATATATAAAAATAGATTTTTTTTTTATTCTGTGGTTAAAGCAAGCTTCCACACTTTCATACACACTTCAGATCTACAGCTAATAAAAACATCTCTACTTTGATTTTTACGAGACACACTTGTTACAGTTTTTTAAGCGGTGCAGTACGCTGAACGTTTTTGGGTTTTATTATATGAATTCATCCGTTAATATGTTAACATTGGATGGTCATAAGTGTTGTTTATAAGTAAATACCTTTAAATTCATCTTTTTTTGTGGTATTAGCCTTGCAGGACGAGGTTTTATTTATCATGTGGTACTGTTTCTAATGTCTGTTTGACCTTTCGCAAAAGTAACCACTGATGTCTTGTTATTTTTTTTGTGTTTTAATCGTGTTAACTTTAAAATAATAATAATAACAATCAAATTCTCTCACAGTCAAGGTATTAAGGTCTTAATCTGAGCAAAATCAAACATCCAGGTCACATTTCATCCCAGAAGATGAAATAAAAAATGACATATAGTACATTAAAACTGATTATAGACATTAGAGACATTTCTTTTTTGAAACCATCATTTACATAATTATTTTTGCACTTTTTAGAAACAATTTTGAGCATTTTATAAGGTCTTCAATCTAGTTTTGAACTAAGAGAGTGTGTTGAGCTTTGGATATTATCAGAAAGGCTGTTCCGGAGCCATATATGAGAAGGTTTGACCTCCTTTAGTGGACTTTGCTATTATGGTAACTACAATATGAATACATTTTGAGAGAGAAAAAATCTGCTGAACCGTAAAAACTAAAATCATAATTATACTAAAAAATATATATTTATTTTATACACTACCTGACAAAAGTCTTGTCGCCTATCCAGGTTTTAGGAACAACAAATAATAACTTGACTTATAGTTGATCATTTGGTATCAGAAGTGCCTTATAAGAAAGGCATATCTTCAATATCTCCTCCTTCATTTTACCCCAGACATGCTCAATTCTATTTAATTCTGGTGACTGGGCTGGCCAATCCTGCACCTAGACCTCCTTTGCTTTCAGGAGCTTTAATGTGGAGGCTGAAGTATGAGAAGGAGCGCTATCCTGCTGAAGAATTTGCCCTCTCCTGTGGTTTGTAATGTAATGGGCAGCACAAATGTCTTGATACCTCAGGCTGTTGATGTTGCCATCCACTCTGCAGATCTCTCGCACGCCCCCATACTGAATGTACCATGATTTTTCCTTCACCAAACTTGACTAATTTCTGTGAGAATCTTGGGTCTATGCGGGTTCCAGTAGGTCTTCTGCAGTATTTGTGATGATTGGGATGCAGTTCAACAGATGAATCATCTGAAAAAAATTTCCATAAGATCAACTAGAAGTCAAGTTATTATTTGTTGCTCTTATTATTTGTCAGGTAGTGTAGTTGAAATGTGACTTAGACATTATTCTGGAAGCCTCAGCTTTTTTTAATACTCCATTAAGGCCAATAATTACTAAAACATCACCGCGCAATTATAATAATAAACAATCGAGGGAAAACAAAAGTATTTCAGAGAGAGCCACGATGAGGAACACTATCTTATTTGATATATAAGGAATGTATTTATTATATGTAAAATCTGCGTATAAAACTGAACTAAGGGCCGTGTTGAACTTTGGTGAGCTGTATGTAGTCAAAAGAGCGTTTGTATATAATTAGTGTTAACATTATTATTCATGTAACAAAAGCAACAGATCAGAAATTGGATCCCAGAAGATTAAATCAAGACATATTTTAAAACGGTGGTGATGGTGAAACGCCATCATACAGATCCAAGCACTTTACGGCTTTAGGATATTGTAAACAATGTAATATTCACGGTTAATAACAAGTCAGTATTATCATGTCTTTTTTGTGTGTCATTTCTGCAGATTTTAGAAATGTTTTTAAGAGTTAATATGATGTGTTTTCTTTATTCCAGAGCTGTAACGCTGTTTCTGTTTTTATATCGCGAAGTTTGAATTATGTAAAGTGATTTCTTTTTCAAATAAATACGAAAGTGTGCAAAAAGTGCGGGTGTTTTAATGCAAGGTCAGATAATCGAATGATTTCAGTGTCAAATTTCAAATGTCGGTGAAAGATTAAACTGGTTTTAGCAGTGTCTGAAAGAGCTGTAAACAACGCCTTTATTTTGACTTCTGCCGATAATAAAGATTGAAGAGTGCCCTCAAGAATACCTTAACGTCCGAAATGCTAATCGATTTAATCTCAAAACCTTGACGTCTATTTGACATCCACATACAGACGCATGTACCGCATATCTTTGGACTGTGGGAGGACACCCGGAGGAAACCCACACGAACGCAGGGAGAACATGCAAACTCCACACAGAAACGCCAACTGAGCCGAGGTTCGAACCAGCGTTCTTACTGTGAGGCGACAGCACTACATACTGCGCCACTGCGTCATGGTGGCACAGTGGGTAGCACGATCGCCTCATAGTGAGAAGGTCGCTGGTTTGAGCCCCGGCTGGGTCAGTTAGCATTTCTGTGTGGAGTTTGCATGTTCTCCCTGTGTTGTCGTGGGTTTCCTCTGGGTGCTCCGGTTTCCCCCACAATCCAAACACGTGCGCTATAGGTGAATTGAATAAATTAAATTGTCTGTAGTGTATGTGTGTGAATGCAAGAGTGTGTGGGTGTTTCCCAGTTTTGGAAGGGCATCTGCTGTGTAAAACTTACGGTGGTGGTTTATTACGCCTTGGCAACCCCTGATTAATAAAGGGACTAAGCCGAATAGAAATGAATGAATATTTTTTATTAATTAACATATATGTGGTTATATGTGGCAAAAACAGCCACGAAAATAACGAAAGGGTAGTCCATTTGAACAGTACACAAGGGTTAACTATCTACTTTAATTCACTGCTTCCAAGATGCCCAAACTAGGGCCTGTGGGCCAAAGTTGGCCCATGGTAACAGGGGCGGATTGGCCATCTGGCAACACTGGCAAATACTAGAAGGGCTTTTTAAATGTGGGCCGATCATTTTTTTATTTTATTTTTTCTAAATATGTATTGTAGTTTTACATGCAGGCAGCATTTATATCTGATGATGATAATAGTAGTAATAATAATATTATTATCATTAGCTGGCTGGTTTCAAGATGGCCGATCCAATCAGAGGTTACATGGACGTAATCAAAATCTGGCAAAGGATGTCAAATTGTAAGTGCAACACAAGCTAATTGTTGGAGATACATACACATATTTACATATAGACACACACACACACACACACACACACACACACACACACACACACACACACACACACACACACACATATATATATATATATATATATATATATATATATGTGTGTGTGTGTGTGTGTGTATACATATATATATATACATATATATATACATATATATATATATATATATATATATATATATATATATATATATATATATATATATATATATATATATATATATAAAGGCTCACTGAAATTAAATGGTGTAAATGAATCAGATTTTATTTTAATGTACATACTGTCTCACGACAATGCAGAGGCTTTGGTGGGCAAATCAAGTGAAAGGCAGATTGTGCTTGACTCGTGTATTCAGCATTGAACTGCACTGTGTTATAAATGTGATTGTTTATGTTTGTATTACAATAAGTGAGCATTAAAGCATTAATTAAGCATTAATTGATACGACTTTAGTTAATGTTTTCTGTTTATTTCGTAATATTAAGAAAAAAATGGATATTACCCATGACAGAATGTAAAATAGTTTGGTATATTTACCCTCGGCCCACGGCTCTCGATGATATTTGTTTTTTTGACCCTTTATACGAAACAGTGTGGTGACCCCTGCGCTACTATGAAGGCCTGCATATGGTTTGAGTGCAGGAGCGATGTATTCTGCTATCGGCTGGTTTGGGCTGGCGCGCTCGCGGTTACAGAAGCACTGACGTGTTCACAGAGCAGCAGCGCGACGCGCGGATCGGTAGCCGAAAGTGACACAGCGGCACAACCGGGTAAGACAAATATATTTACTCTCTCCTCATTCCTATTTTGAACCTTTCGCAGGCTCTCCTGCCCCTCTGGTATGTTAGCTGTTCGCCTAATTTTAATCCCCCCGCCCGGTGGCAGGACGACTGCTAACGTATATGTTCTGTAAGATGCGATATTAGATGGTGCTAGCAAAGTTTACCCGTTCGGATTTCCCCGGAAGTGAGTTGTCCACTTTTTATGTGTGTCTTTTGGTCTTTGTAGTTTCTTCTTCATATCCAACAAATAGCACATTTGCTACTTAAAACTACAACCTTTATGTTTCCGCCCCAGGCAAATCACGTTGCGTAGGAGACCGGGAAGTGTAGTTTATTAGCATCTTCCGTATTGCGTGTGTCAATGTAGAAATGATTTTCTAGGAACTACAGCAACCAGGATGCTCTACGCCTTAAAGGAATCACTTAGCTACGGCTAAAATCCTGATGCTAAATAGCAAATTAGCTTACAAGCTCTGCCCATTAGGCTTCTAGTTAAAATATCAGTGAGTTCATGAAGTAAACGCAGAGGTAAGTATAAAGACTGACTGAGAATAGATACCCACCGGAACTAAAGCCACTGTTCATTTGCATGCACTGACCTGTTTGGTGTAGACGTCAGGAAATGGATCAAGGTTCTGCACTGGGATCACTGAAATTATTTTGGTATTTAAATAAATTATTTAGCATCCACCTCAGTGAAGCATTAGTTTATGCTTTCGTCTTCACCAATTACTAAAATATGGTATTTTAAAGGTTATGTTTTGATGCAAAATCATCAAACCGGCCCTTCATTCATTTGATACGCCGTTTTTTGACGTCGTCTTTATTTAACGTTATTTGTGCTTAACGTTACTCTTTTACTCTATCAGCCTCTTGTTCGTTGACGTGATCAGTTTTTTTGGACTTTGCCTCAGATTATATCTTTAGATTAACACACAGAGGATTCCATGTTTACAACCAGGAAATCAAGACGACGCTCTTATAACTAAACCGTATATTATTATTAACCTAAAGAGAGAAAACGTCACCGATCGGTTAATTACCTGATGTTTTTGGCAACAAATGTTCAGACTACTTTTTAACCTTGGTACCAAAACGTAATTCCAGTTCCACCCATTACCCCGCCTGTGAAGTGTCATTTCCTATCGGTAAGTTACAGAGTAAATCAGGTGATCCGAAGAGAGGAAAAAATCCTCAGGAATGTGTTTTAACTTGCATGAGATTTTCTGAAGCCTTTTCTTAATGTTTTCATTCTTCTACAGTTAAAAACGAAACTTTTTTTTATTTTTATTTAGAAAAGAAAGGATATTATTAACTATTAATGAGGTAAATGCATATTTATATTGTTTAAAGAATAGTTTATTTTCATATAGGTCTCCATTTTGATTGTTTATAAAGAGAGATACATCTCACTGAGAAGTGAAACGTCTTACTTTGTTGTTGCCTTAAATTCTACATCGAAAGCATATTAAATCAAAGTATCAGGCCTACATCAATGCTCTAATTTCAAATATGTTTAGTAAAAATTAAAAATGAATTGTGGGTAAGTTAAATGAATAGTGTCAATCGGTGAAAAATAAAGCTGCATATCCAAGCCTGTTCTTATTAACATATAAAATTAGTAAATATTATTTTCTGAATTTAATAAAAAACATCTTGCATCTTTTGGAGAACCAATTCATATACTGAATTATATCATAGAATCATTTGAAGCTGTATTATACCTTTACTACACCTATTTTAACCCATATATAGGCCTGTCACGATAAGGAATTTTTGTTATGCAATATATTGTCACAGAAATTGTTGCGATATTGTCATTTTGTGGCACTGATTATGATTATATTATGGCATAATAAGGCAAATAAATAGACATAAACACTTTAAAATACTTCTCATTTATTTTGATTCTATAATTTAATGTTAAAACAGTAAATGTCCTATTGTACATGCAGCGTCTTGATTTATTTAGGCTTGTTGTTTTACTCGGTTACCCACTTTTTCGTTGACGTGATTGTTTTATGGACTTTGCCTCAGATTATACCTTTAGATTAACATAGAGGATTCCACAATTGCAACCAGTAAATCAAGACGACTTTCTTATAACTAAACCGTATTATATTATTAACTTAAAGAGAGAAAACGTCACCGATAGGTTAATTACCTGATATTTTGGCAACAAATGTATAGACTAATTTTTAACCTTGGTACCAAAACGTAATTCCAGCTCCACCCATAACCCGCCTGTGAAGTGTCATTTCCTATCGGTGAGTTACAGAGTAAATCAGGTGATCTGAAAGGAGGAAAAAATCCTCAGGAATGTGTTTTACATGAGATTTTCTGAAGCCTTTTTTAATGGTTGTAATCTCCTACGATTAAAAACTAAACGTTTTCTTTTAATATGAAAAAGCAAGGCAATTATTAATCAGGTAAATGCAAATTTATGTCGTTTAAAGAATAGTTTTGTTTCATATAGGTCTCCATTTTGTTTGTTTATAAAGAAAAACATCTCACAGAGACAAGCTTGTTTATTGAAAGTATCAGGCTCACATTGATGTCTCAATTTTAAATATGTTTAAGTAAAGAATAAATTGAAATGTGGGTAAATCAAATTACCGGTGTCATTCAGTGAAAAAAAAGCCACATAATTATTCAAGCCTGTACTTATTCAAATATAAAAGGAATAAATGAGCAAACACATTTTTTTATTGAGACGAAGTTGGTTTTATATTCGCACATTTGTTCAATTCGCAGTTTCTATATTGTTTACCATGGTACTTTTAATATTCGATCGGAATTAGCATGCAAGTACGACTTGTAAACAACAGTAACACTATCTAATTTACTGTGAACAATGTTGTACTTTGATAGTAAGTTACAGAGTAAATCAGGTGATCGAAAGGGAGAATAAAATCGTCAGGAATGTTTTACATTAGAATTTCTGAAGCTTTTCTCAGTTTTTGTATTCTTTTTACAGTTAAAAACTAAACTTTTTTTCTTTTAATTTAGAAAAGCAAGGCAAGTTATGAGCTATTAATGAGGTAAATGCATATTTATATCGTTTAAAGCATATTTTATTTTCGTATAGCTCTCCATTTTTATTTATTTATTTTCTTTGTTTATAAAGAGAGAGACATCTCACTGAGACATGAAACATCTCATTTTGGTGTTGTTTTATATTTGACATAGAAAGCTTGTGAAATGAAAGTATCGGGCCTATATTAATGTTTAAATTTCAGATATATTTAGTAAAAAACAGCACAATCAAATAGCAAATAAAGAGACATGAACACTTTTTAGTACTTATTGTTAAGGTTATTTAGAGTCTAGGGCGAGGCAGTGGCGCAGTAGGTAGTGCTGTCGCCTCACAGCAAGAAAGTCGCTGGGTCGTTGGTTCGAACCTTGGCTCAGTTGGTGTTTCTGTGTGGAGTTTGCATGTTCTCCCTGCCTTCGCGTGGGTTTCCTCCGGGTGCTCCGGTTTCCCCCACAGTCCAAAGACATGTGGTACAGGTAAATTGGGTAAGCTGAATTGTCCGTAGTGTATGAGTGTGTGTGTGGATGTTTCCCAGAGATGGATTGCGGCTGGAAGGGCATTCGCTGCTAAAAAACTTGTTGGATAAGTTGGCAGTTTATTCTGCTGTGGCGACCCCGGATTAATAAAGGGACTAATGAATGAATATTTAGTGTCTTTAATTTGATGTTAAAATGATAAACGTCCTATATAAACTATTAAATGTTCTTTTAGGTAAATGTTCAATTATAAACTGTCACAGGTGAGGTAGAATGTAAATGTCATTGTAAAATAGCTTTAACGTAGGGCTGGGCCGAAAAGCGATATTATGTTGTATCGCGATATCATTTATGTTATCTAATTTATGATAATAACAGTGATAAGCTCTGGACTTTTTTACTCTAATGATCTAAGAGCCAATCACATAGCAGAAACGGGCAACAATGGGAATCTAGTAGGGTTGTCACGATACTGGAATTCAGGACCAATCAATACTGAAATTTTAAAAACATCCTGCTAACGTTTGAGCGCAGTCTTAATCAGCGCTTATTCTTGATTGTGTTCAAGCGCTCAACAGAAATGAATGTGATTGGCCGTGAAGGTCATCCGTTCACCAAACTAACCGCTGTTTACTGAGTCTAACCATAGACAAGGGCATTTCTGTTAAACACAATTGTAATCAGTGCTCAACAGCTGGAAATGTATGTTTTTAAAATTACAACATCGATGGGTACCGTGCTACCCCAAAATCTAGGAGTGTGTTGAAATTAGGGATGCACCAAGTCTTTGGCCTCCGAAAATAGGTTATGCTATTTAATGGACCCTCTCATTTTAGGGCTTTAGTCATTGTTGGCATGCTCTTTTAAATCTGGAAGCATTAACAATTGATATCGAAATATATCGTGATCAGTCAATAATTAATCGAGATTGCATTTTTGCCAATTCGCCCAGCCCTATTTTAACATTATTTGTGAATTTGTAAATGTGTTAAAAAAAAAATTGACGAGGTCATCTCCAAGTATTGCATGAAAAAGTCAATATTGATTATTGTGATCGGCCTACACATATAGAAACAAAAAACTATATGAATTCAACTCAAGTTTTTTTTTTTTTCTTTAATTCGAAGCACATCTTAACACCTCATTCAAACTAGGAACTGTTAGAAATTTTAAAATGGTAAAACAAAGACGTGCTTTCCTTTTCTAGTTGTAGTTTTCTGTGATCGGAGGATAAATGGATGGCTTAACAATACACAGAAATGTACAAACGTATGCTTTAGTTAGAAGATTGTGTGGTTTATAATGTATAACTAAACTAGTACTGAGTAGTAGAATGATTTGCATGAGGTTTTGAATAGAAACCTGAGTGGACATTGAGTGCAGTGAACAGATTGCTTGTGTTTTTCATTAGGATTAAACTGTAAATATAAAAGAAGTACAATTGTGAATTGTTCATATATGGTGTCCTCCCTAAATTCACAGACAGAATGCCAGAAGGAGACAGTGCCGGTGAATCCATCCATGGGAAACCATCAGCGATCGGGAACTTCTTTAAGCGGCTCGGACAGGTGAGGCTTGGTCTAGTCACATGACAGGGCTCCAGCTGTACAACTGTAATATATTAACATCATCAAATTAATAAAATATGAAGCAAATGAGAAATAAATGACAGAAAAGGATTAAAAACAGACAATATCTTTAAAAATTATCATATTTACAAGATTAAAACTTGTAGATTATTTAAATAAGGCAAATGTGTTGATTAACCATTACTAATGGTGTACATATATTTTGCAGCCATTTTAAAAGAGTCATTTCGTCCTCTCCGAGTATATTAAAGCGTTTCTGAGTCGTTTAGATTTTAACAATTTGTTATTTAATGTTTCTCTCGCTTTCGTGCATGCTCAGTCAGTTTGCAAAGCCAAGCGAAAGTAGGCTTAAAGGTGCAGTAGGTAATCTGCCAAAATGCTAACCGCTTAGCATATTATCTTTGAACGGCGAGGAGGGACTGGGATTCATAGCCACGCCTCCTGAAATCGCGAACGCGCGCACCGCGACACGACAGCAGACAACCCACTAGTTCATGTCATTCGCCAGTTAGAAAGGTAACAGTTAGTTAGTGTTTGGCCGGTGACGTGCAGAAATTACAGTTATTACTAAGCCATACTTGCATGTTATTTCAGAGCGAATATTCAGAGTAGCATGGTAAACAGTATAGGAAGGCTGTCATTGTTCAAAAATGACCCAATGTGATTATAAAAGCAACTTCAGCTCAAAAAAGCAGGTTAGGCGGATTAGCGCTATTTACTGATGTTTTGTTGTTAAACTAAATATAAATCTACATTATCGATGATGTAAAATAACTGAGAATACTCGCATCAATCTTTCGCTGGGAGCTGAACAACACGTCTGTGCATATAACCCATTCATAACTCAACAATCTAACATAAGCTTAGCCTGACTAAAACAGTTTTAAAACAGAACATTACCTGTCTAACAGTAATACTTCAGCCATGGTGTCGTCCTTCCTCCAGCGTGCTAAAGTAATTCCAATATTGATTCAGGAGTTTCCAAAGTTTCAATTCAGCATTTGATTTCACCGTGTCTGATTGTCTCGTATGCAGATGCGCAGAAGTCCGAATCTACATTTGGTGACAGACAGTATGAGCTACTTATCGGAATTATGGGAGATGTCGGCCCGACAATATTTAATTGAATGAACATTTTATGCGTTTTCCAGAATATAAGAATAAATATAAACACATTTAGATCATTTACTTTAATCAGTACTATTGGAATGTGAAGAGACTTTCAACCAGCACAACAAAACATGTTTCTGAAGACAATCACCTACTGCACCTTTAAGTAAAAAGGTAATGCATTAACGCATACAAGCTTAAGAAAGCAAAAGTTGAATCCCGCACATTTTAGGAGCTTTAGAATAACCGGCCGTACTAATTTGAGTCCCAAAAAGTGCAAAATGCAGTGTTTCTTTATTGGAAGAATATTGTAAATTGAAATTGTACATGGCTTTGTTGCACTGAAGTTGTCAGCAGCTCAAGGCATGTGAGCAAAAGTACCAATCTCATTAGTCAGAGAAAAATAATGGGATTTCACCCTATTGAAAAAAAAGAGCCAGAGGTGTTTATTTATTTATTTATTTATTTAAATGATGTTTGGTGTGTTGCATATTCGCATTAGCACCCTTTGTTTTGTCACATGGCATTAAACATCAGCGATAATCGTGGTGTGTGTAAGCTTTTAGTTGAATGTTGCTGAATAATCAGATTCACTAATTATATTCTTGTTTTTATATTGCAGATTTATCAGTCATGGTTGGATAAGTCAACGCCGTTCTCAGCAGTCCGATGGGCATCCACGCTTATTCTAACGGCCATATATATGATCAGAGTATATATACTACAGGTAAAACAAAGCAAAAACGTGTAAAACTACACTCACCCTGCTTGTTTAAACTACTTATTTGAAATGAGGAGAAACGAAACAATTCTTACATTGTTTTTTGCTGCCATGAGATTGGCTGATTAGAAATTTAAAATTAACGAGCAGTTGAACAGGTGTACCTAATAAAGTGGCCGGAGAGTGTAAATGATACAAATGTATTGTTATGCTTTAAGCACAGCATTTTAGCATCTGTTTTGGATTTGTTTGTGCAGATTTAGCATATCCTATTAGAGTAACTGATACAGTTATGATCACAAAGCATTATTCAAACGTAATTACATGTTTGTTTGTTTGTTTGTTTGTTTGTATTAGGGGTGGTACATAGTCACATATGCTCTTGGGATCTACCACCTTAACCTCTTCATTGCTTTCCTCTCACCAAAAGTGGATCCCTCATTGCTCGATGATCCAGGTAGGGCTGAGATCAAAACCGATCTGCATCGTTGAGGGGATTTATTCTTAATCAGTGTTTCTCTTGGTCAGATGAGGGTCCGGCACTACCCACAAAACAGAACGAAGAGTTCCGGCCGTTCATCAGGAGGTTGCCAGAGTTCAAGTTCTGGTGAGTTTTGAAATATTGAAATAGTTTTAGGGCGAGGCAGTGGTGCAGTAGGTAGTGCTGTCGCCTCACAGCAAGAAGGTCGCTGGTTTGAACCTCGGCGCAGTTGGCGTTTCTGTGTGGAGTTTGCATGTTCTCCCTGCCTTCGCGTGGGTTTCCTCAAGGTTGCTCCGTTTTCCCCCACAGTCCACACATGCGGTACAGGTGAATTGGGTATGCTAAATTGTCCGTTGTGTGCGTGCGTGCGTGCGTGTGTGCTTGGTGTGTGTGTGCGTGCGTAGTGTGCTTAGTGTGTGTGCTTAGTGTGTGTGTGTGCTTAGTGTGTGTGTGTGTGTGTGTGTGTGTGTGTGTGTGTGTGTGTGTGTGTGTGTGAGAGTGTGTGTGTGTGAGTGTGTGTGAGTGTGTGTGAGTGTGTGTGAGTGTGTGTGAGTGTGTGTGAGTGTGTGTGAGTGTGTGTGTGTGTGTGTGTGTGTGTGTGTGTGTGTGTGTTTTAGTGCGCGCACGCGAATGAGAGAGAGAGAGAGCTTTGGCTGTGTGTGTGCTTGCCTTGGTGCTTGTGTGTGTGTGTGTGTGTGTGTGTGTGTGTGTGTGTGTGTGTGTGTCCCAGAGATGGGTTGCGGCTGGAAGGGCATCCGCTGCGTAAAAACTTGCTGGATACGTTGGCGGTTCATTCTGCTGTGGCGACCCCAGATTATTAAAGGGACTAGGCCGACAAGAAAATGAATGAATGAATTAAATATTTTATGAGTGCAAAGAAATAAGTGGAGCTTTTTGCAATGTGGAAAGCAGAATTTGGCAACAAATTCTGAAGGAAAAGGAAAATAAGTAAGCAATTTGGAAAACTTTTAGTTTTGTGCAATATAAATGTATAATAAGTATTTTTTTTATAATAATATATATAAATAATTTCTAAAACATTTACAATTAATGCACATTATTTGTTCAGTTAGTGACTGTGTTGTTTTTTACTTTTAATTCTTAATAGTTTTTTATTTTTTACAGTTTTACAAGTGTTTTTATCTTTTTTTTTTTTTTTTTAGATTCGTCGTCAATACTTTTGGCAGAAAATGTATGCCATAGTAGCGACGACACCTCATACATGGTGGCCTTACATGTTTATTATCATGAGAGGATTTTGAATAACTGCACTGACCAAAAAAAAAAAAAGCCTGCGCATTTTAGTGATTCAATTTCTTGAGTGGATTCTCACTAAAACAAACACCTCTCATTGGTCATCGGGTGTAAGATAGCACCACTTATTTCTGACTATCTACGTTGCTTAACGCTTCCAAAAGTGCATTGCCAATCGAAACCTTTAACATGAATACACACTGGGGCATTTTCCAGATCTTTTTGGTCTTTGTCCCATTATTACAACTTCAACTGAGGGTGATCTTGCTTTCATTTGAGATGCTTGGCAATCTTTAGCAACACAAGGCCTGGCTTTCTAGTAAGTTAGACCTAAAATTAATAGCGTTAGCCTTTAGCTGGACTGGGTTACCAGCTATTAATAAGTTGCTGATGTTACGCAATGTTGCCATCTAAGATAGTTATTTTCTAAGTATCTAAATCATCCTAAAATAAAATGGCTTTGCATATCATAGAAAGTCAGGGCGAAAAGCATAACTCAGCAAACTGACATAGTTTGGACACATGTTTGTGATGGCAGGAAATAGGTGGTTTTTAACCTAATTTTTGAGTCTATCTTTGGTTACACTAACTGGTTTTTCATGAGAAATGGAGTTTGCGCATGGCTTGTCATACAGAAAATACCAGACATATCAGTGAATAACATTTATAAACTTGTTATTTATATCACAGAGGGGCTTTAACCTCTGTGTTTACATAAAACGTTTACATTTTATTAATTTAATCAAGTTTTGGCCATCTTAGCCCATTTAATCCCTCTTGTTACAATTGACCATGTCTTGTATGCTTATTTTTAGAATATCTAAGAGTTTTTGTTGGCTTTGGCTATTAAATTACACTTTTAAATAAAAAAAATAGATCACAGATTTAATTTCTTCACATTTTAAACAAAACAACACTAAACCTCCAATGGACCCTTCGCTAAGCCCCACCCTCCTTAGTTACTGTTGCTACGCCTGTCAAGCTTTCGTGCCTGGCACGGCTTTTTCAATGTGTGCGCGCCGGTTTCAGACATTGCCAGGGATATAATGTATTTTTCGGCGAACAGGTGTGATATCTGACAAAGCCAGGCACACACCACATAATAGGCGACCTATTAGAGAATAATTCAGGCAAAATTGAAGCTAGCTTAGCCTAGCTGCCTCATGAGCTATCCATTCAACAGCTTAGTTCATGCTCAGCAGGAGAGGTGAACTTTAAAAATAATCTAATAATAACAAATGAAACCGTGATTTCTCTAATTTTAGCCAAAAAACCTGATAGATTAATTGGTGTGCAATGAAATATAGCGATAATAACCGACGAGGAAACACACATGACAGTGCTTTTTACACAGTTCATTCATAGATAGAACAGCCAGAAAGGGGAAACTGATGGATTTGTGCCAAATATTAGCATCATTGACCCATAACAATGTACAGTAAGTTACATATTACTGTCAGTGTGTTTGTGTGCTCTTTATAAATGACTGAAAAACAGCTGCTGGTGAAGTATATTGATCGCAGCTGCTCAGTTTGTGAACATATCTCGGTTTTGTTCTGTTAATTTTGTAATTTCAAATATTCGTAGCTTGGAACAGATGGAAATATGAAGTTCAGTAAAGTTAGCAGCAGATTCGTATTTTCCGGATCAATAACTCATGTCATTATGACCTATTCGCTAATAGTGAGACTAAGGCTGCGGCCGAAACCGCCTACTACTCAGTAGGTACTGCATTTGAATTTAAACGTACTACTCGGCCGTTAGAAAAGTACGTTCTATACAGTATGAATGTGAAAAGTATGAATGGAATTCAGACGTACTACATCTGCCATTTTGACATAGTCACGTGACCTACCTGCGTAATTTGCGTCGCTTTACTCCCATTCATGAATTCGCTCGTGGGGCATCATGGGATAGCGATTCCAGAATCCTGCCGGAAGTAGTAAGTCATCCGGGTACTTCTCGCATACTGTTTTTCGAATTCTATGAATTCGGACACACTACTCGGCTCACATACTGATTTTAGCGTACTATATAGTATGGAAGTATGCGGTTTCGGACGCAGCTTAAGTTACTCATGTTATGGCAAAGGCTTAAAGGGAGCATTACTCATAATATCGAGCGAAAAAAAAAAAAAAAAGGAATACGACAGCTGTGGAACATAACCAGCTTTGTTTTTTTGTAGGAAACACAGTTTAGATCTGTTTAGAGTAAGAGGTGTGTGAGTTATTTCCGTCTGTCACTGAATGTGTCAGGGATATCAAACAAAACCAACTTAGCTCCGCTCCTTTAGCGCTTCTCACACAGCTTGATCCATGCTGGCATTTCTCCTCTTGGGTTTTAGGTTTTGAAAAGGGAAAAAAATTCCACCATCCCATCCAAATTTAAGGATACTGGGTATCAGATTTGCACAATCCATATGCACTCGCTCGAAAGCTTGACAGAGCCCCTGCGCATAGCTACAGTTGCTAAGCCACGATTGGTGGGTGGCAGTTTTTGGGCATGGCTTAGCAAAGGGTCAATTCTAGCAAGATAGTATGCAATAAAGGTGTACTTAAGATATAATGAAGTCAGTGTAGTTATTGCTGTCATACAGTGTTTACAGTCAATAAGCCGAGGAATAATCCAATATTGTAATGGGGGTTTAGTTTTCGACAAAAGGTTGACCAACCACAATGGACTTGGCCATCTGACAACCAATCAGAACAAGGCAGACTCTCAAAAGAAGGGGTAAATGAAGAAAAAAATGATTGTTTTATTTAAAATGTGAAAAAAGGTAAAGTTGGAAACACCAAACCTCCAATTCTTCTTTTAAAAAAAAACCGTTTGCATGGTTTGTGAAGTTTCGAGCACACTGGCTCTTCATTAGAAATGTGTACTTGATAAGATATATTAAAATCAATGTAATTTATTGCTGTCATACAGTCTTTATAGTCGATAAAATAATAAAAAACTGATATCATAAGTGTTTAGTTTTCAAAAAAAGTGGTCGACCAATCACAATGGACGGGGCCATCTGACCACCAATCAGAGCAAAGCAGACTAAATGAAGAAAATTAGATTTTGTTTAAAATGTCAAAGTCAGAAACCCCAAACCTCCAATTAATAAGAATAAAAGCTTTGCGTAAGTTGTGACGTTTCGAGCACACAGGCTCTTCATTAAATATGTGTACCTTATAAGATATATTGAAGTCAATGTAGGTATTGCTGTCATACAGTGTTTACAGTCAATGAGACTAGGAATAATCCAATATTACCAGTTACAATGGACTTGGTCATCTGGCCACCAATCCGAACAAAGCTGACTCTCAATAAAGGGGTAAATGAAGAAAAATTAATTGTTTTCTTAAAATGCGAGGAAAAAGTAAAGTCGGAAACACCAAACCTCCAGTTCTATCAAATTTATTAAGATAATTTTAAAAATGTTTGCGTAGTTTGTGACGTTTCGATCACACAGGCTCTTCATTAGAAATGTGTACTTGATCAAATATATTGAAGTCAATGTAATTATTGCTGTCGTACAGCGTTTATAAAGAATAAAAGAAGGAATACTTCAATATCATGTTTAGTATTCTAAAAAAAGTGGTCGACCAATTACAATAGACAGGGCCATCTGACCACCAATCAGAGCAAAGCAGAACAAAAATTCAAAGCAAATCTTTAAATAATAGTAATTTAATGCCTCAATATACTCAAGCCAAATTATTTTCGTTCGCATTCTTTGATACGTTTTTATTACACGCTGTTCAGACATTAGCATTAAAACTAGCTCATAATTTATCCACTCTTAAGTCATCCTCAGTGTATATGACTTTCTTCTTTCAGACAAACAGAGGTCTGTTTTGTCCTGGCCTTTCCATGCTTTTTAATGGTGTTAGTCAGTGGCGATCTTCTTTTATTTTAATGTATTTATTTTTGCTTCCGAAAAGAACCTAAATCAGTTGTAAAACTAACCCATACTCCGGCAGGGGGTTAACACATGTCTTATGCAGCAGATCAATGTGTTTTTGTAACACAAATATTTGTACAGCTTTTAATTATAAACTCAAATCACTGACTAACAGCGGTGCAGAATGCGTTTTATCAACAACTGACTTCTAAATGTTATGTAATAAATGACACACAAGACGTCTTCAGTTTTGCCACACAGTTTTTTTCACCACAATAAAACGACGCCAAACAAGAACTCATTGGCCTAACATTACTGCACAACATTACATTACTCTTATGGGGTTTTCACACTGTAAGTCATGCTATTCGTGTGTAGTTAGAATATTTTGAGTCTCTTCATTCACGTGTCAAATTCAGTTCACAACAGACGCTGGATTTTGTTAAGAGGGATGCTGTGGTTTATGGGATTTATTGACCTTATTTTAAAATGCGGAAGTGCGCCTGTTTTCGCGATTGTCTTAGAACTTCCGATTCAGTCGCCTATGGGAGAAATGACTAGGAATAATAAACGGCAGAAAATGGTCAAACTACTTGCTCTACAAACAAATGTTTGCATGACTATACAGACCAAGTAAAATAATATAATAAGAAAATATGAAATTGCAACATCAAGCTGCATAACGAGCAGTTTTTAACGTCAAAAAATGAATGGAATTGAATGTGACCGGAAGTCGCGAGACAAAAAGATTCAAATGGCATCGCCCACTCGTCGGCGCAGAATGAGGTGAATAGAAAGGCTGGAAAAATGACGTGGACTTGTTCGGAACAAGTTCCTGATTGATTAACATGTCACAAGTTTTTGCGAAAGTAATTCAAGCAAATCAAACACCCAAAATGCTTAATTTGCACTATCATTGGCTCAAACCGCGTGATTCACTCTGCAGGATGTTCATCATCTCTTTATATTGATAGAACATTTTAATCACTTGCGGTTACCACTTCCACGTCATTACTCTTCAAATATCAATGTGTCTCAAGGCCTGTTCACAAGAAGTACGATAACAATAAAGAAGACATCGTTTTAAATCACAGATATGACGATAAAGATGTAGAAACATGATACTGTTTTGATCACTTCAGTACTATTGTTTTTAACAACAAAACACTGACGGTCAGAATCAGTTTAAATACACCGGTAATAGAAAGGCTCGTGAAAGAAGCTAGAAACAACATTGTGGAGAAGCTGTGCTAGATCTTAAGTTCTCTTTTCAAAGTTTGTTTTAATAATAATGACTATTTCTGAAACCTTTATTTATTCTATTGGAAAAAATGATAAAAATACATGAAAGTTGTGCAAGAAGGCTTGCAAATTGATGTATCAAAATAAAAGTACCTCAGGTGACCTGTGCTAGTTTCAGTTCTGTTGCTGCGGGGGAAAAAATTGTGTTTTTGTTAGCGATCGTAAGATTCGTTCTTTGATTAGATTGATTACACAAGGTGGATTCACTGGTCAGACACGCTAATCACTAATGACATATGAAAAGTGTGATCTAAAAATAAACAGATCATTTATCGTTTTTCAGTGTGAAGACAAATATAGTTATGATTTTTAGTTAAATTTATAGTTATCAAGCTTTGTGTGAATGGGTTTTTATCATGTTTTATCAGTCAAGTCAAACTCGAACAAGTTGTCGAGCGCACATTCGGCAGCCACCTAAAGTATTTACTTTTAGTTTAGAAATTAATAATAAGAAATATTTCTGTTTCAAAAACACATTAATCCACTTCATAAACCACAAGCAACATAAGAGTTAGTTTGACGATGGATTTACATGCTTTTGGAAGCTAAAAAAGGTCATTTATACAATATGGAAGAACCATTATATTGATTACACAAGCTGGATTCACTGGTCAGACGTGCTAATCGGTTAGAATGCCAAATGAAAAGCCTTGTATTAAAATAAACGGATCGTTATCATTCTTTAGTGTAGACGCAAATATATTTATGATTTTATTTAAATTCATAGTTGTCTTGCTTGGTGTTAATGGACCTTTAAGTCATGCGTCATCAGTTGAGTCAAAGCTTAGGCAATAAGTTGTCGAGAACGCACATTCAGCAGACGCCTAAAGTATTTGAGTTTAGAATTTATTAAGAATATTGTTTTTGTTACAAAAACACATTTATCTGATTCATAAGACTTGCGTTAACCCACGGGCAGCATATGGGTTAGTTTAATGACGTTTACATGCTTTTGGAAGCAAATTAGGTGATTTAAAAAATATGAAAGAGCAATTACACGAGCTGGATTCACTGGCCAGACGTCCTAATCGTTTGTAATGCCAATTGAAAAGCCTAATCTAAAACTAAACCGATTGTTATCGTTCCTCAGTGTGAACGCGAATGTAATTATGGTGGCGTATGGGGTAGTTTGGCAATAGATTTACACACTTTTGGAAGCAAAAAAAGGCTGTTTTACAGTATGGAAATTGAAACTACTCTGACTATTGTTTGCAAGTAAATTAAATAAGGGAATCTTCATTTTGGGGTGAACTATTCCTTTAATATGTGGCAGTTCTTGCATACAAGTATAGATTTAATGCATTATTATGCCTGTTTCGGTTTGATGTTACAGGCATTCAGCGACGAAAGGCATCGTCATCGCTATGATTTGCACATTCTTCGACGCCTTTAACGTGCCAGTGTTTTGGCCCATCCTCGTAATGTATTTCATCATGCTGTTCTGCATCACCATGAAACGGCAGATCAAGGTTCGTCAATAGATGATGTTTCTAGTTCATTAGCTGAGCCGTGTTGTCTAAATATAGAGTTTGACATTTTTCCCTCTCTCCACAGCACATGATCAAGTATAGATACCTGCCCTTCACACACGGGAAGAGGACTTACAGAGGCAAGGACGACACAGGGAAAACCTTTGCTAGTTAAAATTCCCCTTCCTGAAATTAAAGTTATTGATGAAGAATGGTGCGTAAAGGGGGTTGAGGTTTTTTCTTTTTTTTTTTTTTCTCTCTATTTTTTTTTTATTTCTATCTTTTTTTCTGAGTAAGAAAAAGCCAAGCCTGTTGGATCGTTTGAAACTGTAATGCTGCCTTTAAGTGTTTTGGGGTCTTTGAGAAATGCTGTAGAGAGCTTCAACACTGGCGATTTTTAATATAGTAGGACGTGTGAGATTCCACTCGAAAGATTCTTCAAACTTTAATAAATTTTTTCTTCAGAATGGATTTTAAAAGGAAGTACATATTTTATGCTCATCGTCTCACTCTCGTGTCTTTTTAAAAACCACAAGAGACAAAAAGAGATATTTAACAGAATGTTCATGCTGCTCTTTTTCCATATCTTTTTCCTAAAAAATAGCCAGATGTGTTCTGCTAATGCTAAAAGTCATACTGATTTGGAACTAAATGAATATTAGAAGTACGTTTTTGCTTGTCTATTACTTCGTTATTTACGAATCACTTCAAATATGTTGTTTATAAAGGCAAACTGCTCATTATTTGACCCCCAGCATTGTGAAACAGTTTAATATTAATACCGTGGTACTTTCAGTGTCGATTATTATAACATTAGAATCAGTATTCAGACTAACATAAGAAGCTTCCATGAGAGAGGAGAAATTATCGATGATGATGATTATATCTTGCCACATGTTAATATTTGCCTTTTATGAACATTTGTGATTCTCTTAATGTGCTGTAGCATTGTATTTAATTTCTGTACATACATGTCCACTAATCAAAAATAATCCATTTGTGCTGTTTGTAAGTTATTCTTCAGTAGCTAAACCTTTCAAACCCCCGCGCCTTGTACGTCAGGTCTTCTCTTTTTTTTTAAAGCAAGCGTGCATTCCATTAAAATGAATATGACACACACAAATATTGGCTGTTATGTTTTTATCGTTTGAACATTCCCAGTAAAAACACTTTCTTTCTCTTTTTCTTTTACAGAGGAAACATAAAGTTGAGTGCTTTAACTATTGCAAATGGATGGAGAGGGTTGAAGGTTGTTGTTCTTTTTTGTTTTGTTTTTTTTTCCTCCATTTTGTGCTGGGCCATAACAACTATTAGAGTTTTTCTTAAGGGCAAATGCAGAGAACTTCAGTAACTTAAGCATTCAGGAGGACTTTTTCCTGTCAAAGTGCAGTTTTTTGGGGGAGGGGAGATATAAATATATATATAAAATGTATAATGTTTAATTTTTTTTAAATGGTTAGCATGTTTGAGTTCTTTCTTTTTCTGATAATGCCATTTTTACTGTATTAAATTCAGTCATCCAAACGAAAATAGGTTTGTTAATTCCTGATTAAAGACATTGCATGTTTTAGCTTTTCTTGTGCTGCTGGTTCAAGAGAAAACGAGATGATTTTAATAACTAAGTGTACATTTTTTTTTCACTCCAAATGCTATTAAAAAGCTGTGTTCCTTCACTGCTCATCTGTTTCGTTTTTAGATTTAAGAGATCAGTTGAATTGACTTTTGTGGTTTTTGACATGCGTTGGTCACACTTTACAATAAGGTTCATGAGTTAATGTTAATTAATGCATTTACTAACATGAACAAACAATGAACAATACATTTAGTACAGTATTTGTTCATGTTAGTTAACGTTAGTTAATGAAAATACAGTAGTTCATTGTTTGTTCATGTAAACTCATGGTGCATTAACTAATGTTAACAAGCATGGACTTGGATGTTAATTATGCATTAGTAAATGTTCAATTATGATTAATAAGTGCTGTACATGTGTTGTTCATGATTAGTTCATGTTAGTGTATTGTAAAGTGTTACCCATGCATTACATACAGCCGGCAGCTAGCTCTCTGCGACTCTCACATGGTCGCTATAAGCAGAGCTGCGCCCGGTTAGTACCTGGATGAGAGACCACATGGGAAAGCTAGGTTACTGCCGGAAGGAGAAGGGTCTGGCTGCAGAGTTGCACTTGCACCTTCAGGCTTGCACTCTCGGGCTTGCACGCTCAGGTACCCACGCTTCCTATGCAAGTGACGTCTTTAACAATCAACACCTTCACCTGGCACGTCACTTGAAATCAACACAAATAAGTTTCCAGTTCGTTTGCATTGACAGTGACGACGTTGTCAAATAATTTTAAGGACTCAAGTTGTACACCATGACAGACACCTACCCCAAAAAGCGGTTTGTATATTCATCATATGATTATAATGCTTTAATGTAAATTTAACCAAGCAGGCTACGATTACCATTTATACCAGCAAAGCTTATTACTTCTTTACATGAACTATTAGGGCTAAATATACACACAAAGTAATCTTCCACAGTTATGTCGCTGTGTGTTGCCAGAAACTACAGTGAAATGCTTGGGAAAAAAATGAAAGAAAAAAAGAAATTAATAAGAAATATTTCTGTTACAAAAACACATTAATCCACTTCATAAACCACGGGCAGCGTATGAGTTAGTTTGACGATGGATTTACATGCTTTTGGAAGCTAAAAAAGGTCCTTTATACAATATGGAAGAACCATTATATTGATTACACGAGCTGGATTCACTGGTCAGACGTGCTAATCGGTTGGAATGCCAAATGAAAAGCCTTGTATTAAAATAAACAGATCGTTATCATTCTTTAGTGTAGACGCAAATATATTTATGATTTTATTTAAATTTATAGTTGTCTTGCTTGGTGTCAATGGACTTTTAAGTCATGCGTCATCAGTTTAGTCAAAGCTTAGGCAATAAGTTGTCGAGAACACACATTCGGCAGACGCCTAAAGTATTTGAGTTTAGAATTTATTAAGAATATTGTTTTTGTTACAAAAACACATTTATCCAATTCATTAGACATGCGTTAATCCACGGGCAGCATATGGGTTAGTTTAACGACTTGTTTACATGCTTTTGGAAGCAAAATAGGTGATTTAAACGATATGAAAGAGCAATTACACGAGCTGGATTCACTGGCCATATGTCCTAATCGTTTGTAATGCCAATTGAAAAGCCTAATCTAAAACTAAACCGATTGTTATCGTTCTTCAGTGTTAACGCGAATGTAATTATGGTGGCGAATGGGGTAGTTTGGCCAGAAACTACAGTGAAATGCTTGGAAAAAAGACACTTGAGTAAGGGTGACGTATAAGAAGTTTATTGCAACGATCTTAATGAAATCTGTTACCTCAGATTTTCCGCCTTAGGGACACCCTTCCCTACTGAAAAAAACTGCTTAAAACCAGCCTAGGCAGGTTGGCTGATTTTAGCTGGTCGACTAGGCTGATTTTAGAGGGGTTTTGGCCACTTTCAGGCTGGTCTTAGCTGGTCAGGCTGGGAGCTGACCAGCTAAAACCTGTTTGACCAGCTTAAACCAGGCTGGTCAAGCTGGATTTAGCTGGTCATTTTCCAGCCTGACCAGCTAAGACCAGGCTGGAAATAGCTGGAAAGCAGTCTGAAAATGGCCAAAACCCCTCTAAAACCAGCCAACCAGCCTAGGTTGGTTTAAGCTGGATTTTTCAGTAAGGTTAAGATAAATTACCGAAAGACTTTCATGCAAGCGGCCACAGGTGGCGATTGTAAATGACGTCACTTGCAAAGGAAGCGCGATTGCCTGAGCGTGCAAGCCTGAAGGTGCAAGTGCAAATCTGCAGCCAGACTCTATTGGCCGGAAAGGGGTGTTGCTGACACCAGCAGGGGGCGCTCAACTTGTGGTCTGTGTGTGCACTAATGCCCCAGTATAGGGTAAAGTCTAGATTGGATACACGGCTGGCCGGAAGTGTGACATCCACATTAATATAGCAGCATTTTTTAATGACACTGTATAATAATTGTATTTTTACAGTACTGTGACGATTGGCTTTAGGGTAGAATAGGTGTTTAAAAATTACAATTTATTGGGTAATTTAATATAGACAACATAAATAATAACCGGTACAACTACTGTTTTTACGTCACTGTGACTGTTAGGTTTAGGGTTGCGGTAGACGTTAATAAAATACGATAAATATGAAATTTAATAAATAATAGAAATAATTCTTGTTAACTTTCAGCCGCATCCGTATCCGATCCAGCAACAACTCCAGTACAGTGAGGCGAACTCTATACTGCCCAGTAAGATGTTAAACCGAGGTCCCGACTCTCTGTGGTCATTAAAAATTCCAGAATGTCCTTCAAAAAAAAAAAAGAGTAGGAGATCCATTAAAATATAGATTTTAACAACATATAGCCCAATTACTAGTAAGAGAACAACAACTTTCTATTAATATCCTCAAAATACAAAATTACATCATTTACCCATATTTTATTCTTCATCCCCTGAATTCTGTTGATGATCAGGTATGTATACAAGAATATTAATTTAATTCATGTTTATTTCTATAGCATTTCTATAGCGCTTTTACAATGGAAATTGTGTCAAAGCCGCTTAACAGTGAAGTTCTAGTAGATTGAAACTGTGTCAGTCCAGTTTTCAGAGTCGAAGTTTAGATCAGTTCAGTGTGGTTTCATTTTCACTGCTGAAAGTCCAAACACTGCAGGGCAAATCCATCGATGTGCAGCTCCGCAAGTCCCGAACCGAGCAGGCCAGTGGCAAGGAACAAACTTCAGCAATTGACGAAAGTGAAGGACAAAAACCTTGAGAGAAACCAGGCTCAGTTGGGCACGACCATTTCTCCTCTGGCCAAACTTTTTATGCAGAGTTGCAGTCTAGGCGACGGAGGCTGGGGAACGCTGGACGTCCATCTGAGAGAAGCTGCAGGTGTGAGTAGGTCACCGGCGGGTGTTCAGGCTAGCCCACTGGATCAATGCGAAGACTTGTCTGTCACTGTAGTCTTTCAGGAATCTGCTCAGGATACGGCCTGGTCCAGGATTATGGATACCTTGGCATCATTTCTTCACATGTCAATGGCACTGCATAATCTCTAGAGGCCTCAGGATGACTATCACCAGGTGGAAATAGAGACTAAAGAAAATTATTGGTGTAGCTGCTGTTCATGAACCAAGGATTAAAACCATTCATTCATTTTCCTTCGGCTTATTCCTATTATTCATTAGGGGTCACCACAGCAGAATGAGCCGCTAACTTAGCTAGCATATACAGCGGATGCCCTTCCAGCCACAAACCAGTACTGGGAAACACCCATACTACACTCTACATACACTATGGTCAACTTAGTTTATTCTTAGTCTACCACATGTCTTTGGGCTGTTGAGGAAACCGGACGAAACCTACGCCAACATGTGGAGAACATGCAAACTCCACACATACATGCCAACTGACCTAGCTGTGACTCGAACCAGTGACCTTCTTGCTGTGAGGCGACAGTGCTAACCAATGATGCCCCGTTTGATGAACCATTGCAAATATCACTTTTTAATCTGAAAAGTACAATTAGCTTTTCCGAGTAACATTCATGTCATTTCAGTGTTTTTGTTCAAAACACATGTTGTTTTCATAAACTTGGACTGTAAATTCAAAGGAATATTTGGGCTAATAGTCCTACTGCTCATTCTCAGGTTATGGTTTTATGTGTGGTCCATGTGTCATGGAGCCCAATTCCTGTTTTTTTAATAACATACTAAAAATATAACATTGTAAACGATTGTAAAACGTTGCTAATCAGACAGGTTTTGAACGCGTTATGATTTAACAAATGTTAAAGTTTACAGTAGTGTCTAACACTAACATAATAATATACACATATTAAACACAGGAGTCTGAAAATGTGTTGCACTGATATAAACTAGCTACAACTAATTTAGCACTCTCAAATTACACTGCCTAATTCTCTTAAAAGGGCGTCAATGTCTTTGTATTTAGATAACAAAACTTCAAGCTAGCTGCATCTGCGAACATGTGATGCTAGCTTTTCTCAGAACTAGCTTTATCGTTTTTGAACAGTAAGGGGGAGTGGGATGAGGTGTTTGTTTAGCATTATTTCAGAAAGGGCCCTGGAATTCTTTTAAAAAGGTGCTAGTCAAACTTATATATGTAATTTTGACATCGAAGGAGTTTTTTTAAGCGTAACAATTAATTGAGTCAAACACTTAATCACATTTTTCGCCTTTTCATTTGGTTTTTGAACCATTAGTTTTGCGGTGTTGTTTATATTTTCCTGTAGGGGGCATCAGTGACGCAGGCAAAATGCTTTTACATTTGTGCTTTGTGTTTATATCATAAATGTGATAAAATGTATTAAAGTTTAGCATTTACTTTGATATTAATGAGATTTTCAAGAATTAATTATTAATATATCAAGTATTAATATTCCCGTTGTATTTTCTCTATTATTTATATGTCGTTTATTAATTTTATCTGTTTTTTTAAGTTTTACTTGTGAAATTTTAAGCTATATATATATATATATATATATATATATATATATATATATATATATATATATATATATATATATATATATATAAACATAAACTTAATTATTTTTAATTTACCGTTTAGATCAATAGATTGCTGCCATGTTTTTGTTGGACTATTTTCATTTTAGTTACTTAAGATTTTAATAATATATATTTTCAATGTCTTATATTGATGTAATTAATTTTACATTCTCAATAAAATAATAAAATCATAAAATTAATATTAAAGTTGGGATATATTTTAATTTAAAAATCAAAGGATTTCTTATATATATATCTTATATATAGGTAGTTATATATATATATATATATATATATATATATATATATATATATATACACACATATAATGTATGTATTTATTTATTTATAATATACTTTTTAAAATCATTTTAAAAGTTTAAATTAATATTTTTTATGTTGTAAAATATTTAAGTACCATTATTTTCTTTTTTTAAATTCAGACATATATATATATATATATATATATGTATGTGTATATATGTATATATATATATATTTTTTTTTTTATGTGTGTAAATATGTTAAAATGTGATGACTTTAATGTTAATGAATTTTTTTCTCATTTTATAATTTTGTTTTAATTTGAAACAAAAATTATTCATTTCGCTTAAATTTTGCTAGCTTAGTTTTTGTGTGCTTTTGTAGTTATGTATATATATATATATTTCTATTTTAGTTTTCAGTTCATTTTAGATTTAATTTTTTTTGTATAAAATTAAGAATAATATGAAAATGAATGGTAAAATATAAATAGTTGAACATGTAGTCTAGTTTTAAAAAGCGTTATTAAATGTAAAAAAAAAAAAAAAGAATGAAGCGGAATTACATTCAATAAAGGATCATTAATTAAATAAATAATCCATATATATATTATGTATGTTAGCGCACCCTCTAGTGGCTCTATACGTAGACGCGTGCGCGTGCCCGCTGACGTCACCGTGCTGTAAACCCACAACCAGCAGAGCGTCACAGAGCAACTCCACGCTGATAACGCTCGAATAATTCGTGTTCTCACCCCGCGTGCGTCTGTTTTTCTACTTCAACCTCGTCAGCAGACAATACTCAAACACCAGCGTTCACTTCCTACACAATTCACCCCGTCGAACCGGCTGTTTCCCATCTTATACGTTACACTTCCGGGTTTACAAGCGTCTTTTCCCTCTGAGGATCAGCTGTGAAGATTGAATGAAGCAGAGAAGAGGAAGAGAAGAAGAGAGCAGAATAATAAACACAGCGTGCCCGGAGGACGACCAGAGAAAGCGGCTTTTCTGGATTTTTTTCTTCTGACGGGAGCGCGCTGGCGTTCACCACATCTCCTATTATTATATATCATCATAATCCACAGAAGTATGAAGATCTGTCAATGGTGACTCATCCTACAGCTCT